CAATATCACCCATATTTGTTCTGTTCTTTTTTACTTATACGCTCAATTAACAGTCCTGTCTCGCCTCACATTCTTCTTGTGTACTGATCATCAAGACTTCTCATGCAGCTAATCTTCATCTGGCATGTTTGTCTGAGAGAGGATTTCACCTATCCTGATGGATCTCACCGGGATCGCCATCAATAATTCAGCGAGATCACCAGTGGCAATGAACAGTTATGTTGAATAATGTCATCTAAACTCCCACCGGCTGCAGCGGCGCAACATGCGGCTGACACGACCGGTAGTCATTGATCCCAGCAGGACCCGAGGAGAGCTGAACCAGAGCCCTTCTCTCTCCGTCTGCACGTCTCCGTCTCTGGCGCCAGCACCCTGCACTCGCCGCCTCCTCACGCTGACACTGATGCAGGGGATGATCAGCAGCAAAGCACTTCTTTTATTAAGATATAAAGCCAGTGCCAACCTCTGACCCTAATTTATTGTTTGCTTTTAAGCCATGAGGCAGACCTTGTGGCTGTATGGATTTCTAGTAGCATGTTGTAATGGCAATCGCAAACAGTCTCGCAGATTTACAACCTGGTAACGACCTGCTCCTACTGACCAAGAGCTTGATGTGCAACCAGCGGGACAGAGCAGGCTCCACTTACTTGTTGCAGTGTTAACGGCGGCATGGATGGCATCCGTAATGTGTTGTGGCGGTGCTTTGGTTACAAAAATAGCCAAACAACGTATTTCAATCGGCTGCCTGGCATGAGTCCTGTTTTGCACATAAGGTAGTGTCACCACTACATGCATCTCACAGTAGCTATTTGTTATTCGGCTGTTTAATGTACGAGTACGAGCAAAGACGATGTGTTAAAGGATGCCCGTTTAATAATATTCAGCCAACGGAGAAGTCAGTAGACATAACTTAAGGGAAATCTCCAAGGGCATAAAGATACCGACCACAGGCACATGAACACGTACAAAAAAAACATCCATTATTGATTTTAAGATTTTTACATATTACTTTTAAAGCTCTAGTGAATCCCCAACTGAACTGGAGCCTGAGATCCTCGGTCAGTAACCTGCCACCTTTTTCCAGCACACATTTATAGACTTGGAAGGTTTATAGTCCGCTTGTATAATAGAGTAACGATATTCTTATTTCCCTCACTGCCAAAAAGATAAAATGCATATTTACCAAAATGTCAAACTTGAGAACTGGTGATCTGAGCATGGCATCACTGAAGGTATACGACGTAATGCCTTTTGAAGGGCCTTGCAGAATACATTGTGTTTTGATGTGCAGATTATGCAAAAGGAGCTGCTAAGGAATCCAAAAATGTCCATTCCTTGTACAAAGATGAGCTTGAGAATGGAAGCATCTGTATGCATTCAGTGTTGTGTTCAGAATGAAATACTTAAGATGATCCCAAAAATAGCCAAACTTTGCTCTTGAATGTCGATGTGTGCGGAGGGATGCGGTTCCTCAGTATTCCCTGCCTACAGCCCCCATAAGAGACTCATTAGATCATTAAATCTCAGCATGTGGTTCCACTCAGAACATAATGAGTGTGATTTACCCACGACATTATAGTTGCGGAACACCGAACAGCTGGGCCTCTAACCCGCTCTCCTCTCACCTTCACAGATGATCTCATAGTATATATCTGTTGGCCGAGGAGCTGCTCATGGGCTTTGACTCTCACAGGATGCACACACATGGAGGAAATGTTCTATGGTCAAATTGGATTTCCGGGAATCATTATCCTCAGATTCTTGACACACTGTATGTCACAATATTCATATTTATTATAGTTCCCATTTCAGGTCAAGTAGAGCCGTCATCGGTGTTCTGGGATATTTTTTTTTGCATTTGCAAAAACTGTCTATGTGTGTGAATGAAAAAAAAAGTTGTAAAAAAAAGATTCCAAACAAACAAACTAAATTAAAGCGGTCAAAACTGTGGGGAAGTTGTGGCATAAAAACTTAAATTATAATCTGATTTAATCTGTATACCAACACCAGTCCTTAAACATGTAGGATCATGAACATTTACTGATCGAGCATTCAGATAAAAAGGTTTTGTCTTTTTAAGCAGACTTCAGCTTGACCGTGTCGTATGGCCTGTTCAGACTCGTTCCGCTGGCTCCTGTTCTACTTGTGTTTGACAGGATGAAGACATTGAACGTCTCTCCCTTGCGTCTTCCCAAAAAAAGCAATGGTTGGCTCTTTGGCAGATCCAAACAACATCTCGAGGAGCCACTCAAGTGAATAATCAACATCCTCAATGAAACCAACAACATACTATTAGAGCTACTGAATATGAGCACCCTCTTCATTTCTCCACCAGTAAGTGGACGGGTGGCCGTACGGACGCTTCCATGCATGGGAGTGTTGGCAATGAGCTGATGGATTGCGTGCATTGAAATGTAAGCTTGTAAAGACCAGATGGCTGCTACGGATCGGGCCCTCCTGATATGCTGTTAGTCTTGACAGAGAAATGCCAGAGGTTTCTTGAATACCAGCTGATTGAAAAATATTGCCTTTGAGGTTTCCATGGAGAAGAGTGAAACATTCCCAGGGTGCAGTATATGTTGTAAGGAGTGAGCGTTTGATAATCAGGCTTTCATAAGATGACTGAGCAAAATAAAATGTCATATAGGGGCCCTTTGAGTAGATAAAACTTGATATAAAGGGCTTTCTTGGTTGCTCGCTTCTGAAGTATTTTTTACATGATAAAACAGAGAAGACATTACGCATTTGAACTTTATTGGTACATGACATCATATGCAGGGAAAATCCCAACTACAAATGTGTAGATGTATTTTTTGCAAAAGACTGCAGGCATAGTAACAACAATCTTACCATGACAAGTCTTTCTGTCATGTTGAGAAAGCTGTCACAGCCGAGTCCGCCAGCAACAACTCTTCTCGTGTCAGTCGCCATGCCTGACTACGCGGCGACCTGGACCAGGTCTAATGCTATCTTCTCACGCGACCACAAACGAGCATCTATCAAGCTGTCAGCTCCACAGCGGAGACCTTCATCTACAGAAAGGCCGTCAGATCGGGCCTCTTGGTCATTACGTTTAAAAAGGCGGCAGTGTTTTGCTTTGCCTGCCTTTTTCCTTTTGTAAATACACTCACAATTCCACAACTTCCTGCCAGATGAGTGACGAAGCGCCCGTGACTACAATCAATTTAAACCTATATGGTAAAAATGGGAAGGAAACACTGTGCATGTGATGACAAAGGAAAAAGCACGCTGCAACACGAGTTGATTAAATGTCTGTTAAATTATCCCTCCGGACTGTTTGTCTTAGTAGTGGTGTTTATTGGCAGCAAATAAATACAGATGCAGACAGCGTTCTACCAACTGTAGACATAAAAACTTGTGTGCAACGATATGCCAAAGTCTGTAAAAACCTTCAGCGTGTTACATGTATTAACCACAATATGATGGGACATTAAATGTTCAATCAAAAGCTGAAGAGAAGAACCCACAGGACTCCATTGGACAGATGTCAGATGTCAACCATGTATTCAGTTAGCCACAACTTTTTAGCAATTATAAAACTGTTATATAAGTCAAAGCCACCGGGATAAAGTAATGTCATGGGAGAATTAGTCAAATCCCACTCTTCCGCGTTTAGAGGTGTGACAAAGTGGCAAACATTCACTTATTCCCTTTCGTGTTTTCAGCAGTTGCAGAGCAACATTAGCATTCATTTACACTCCTGTTTCAGACCTTTGGGAGTATAATACAAAATGATATCTTTTCTCTGGTCTTCGGAGGGAAATATCCGGCTCCTTATCTGCAGGACAAAGTATTGAGTTTGACAGCTGAACTGTGATCTGAAACTCACCATATAGCTCTATATATAAGATTTGTGAGCTGCAGATTCAGTTGATGATTCTCTTCTTTCATATTGTTTCTGTTTTGTTAATTAATACATTTATCAGTATACAAATATGGATTATGAATTATTTCATGTTTAATGTAGAAAAGCATTCTCTCGTTATTCTTCTACTAGGTTAAGGAGTAGTAAAATGCAAGGTGGGAATAAATCACTGCTGCACTTGTACAGCTGATCAGACCAAAGAAGGAACTGCTCGGTAACAAGAGAGCAAAGCACCACAGCAGAGCGCTGGATATCTCAAGTAAATCGCATAGAAGGCATTTCCCTGATTGTTCTTCTTCAATGCATTGGGTTGAGTAAGAGCGAGATACCAATCCATTATTTTCTTTTACCGCTTTAAGTAAAAAAAAAGGGCCCCTGATGTCTTGTGGTCTGCAAACATGACCACAAACAGTTTTACAAATGATCCTTGATGGTGTGTTCGCATCAAACACGAAGCAAATGTTTACTGCCCCATTCAGAGCTGCCATGAACGAGGGTAGCTGAGCTATAATCACAGTTAAAAAGTGATTCTTGCCATAAAAGTCCAATATTGTAATGTTTACAGCAAACCAGGTGCTGAAACGAATGCCAAAACAGTAAGGGGAGCCGTGGAAGTGTGTGTTCGACATAATCCAGCATCATTTGATCGGAGCAGAAGCCAGTGGTAAAAGCCTGTCACATTGTTGACATAAGCAAGTGACCATGCTCAGTGCAGCTGCTTCATTCATCACAAAATCTGTGACATTATGCAATAATTAACTCACGGTCATCACATGCTTTTTAACGTTATGAGAGCCATAACGTTAGTTTGAGATGATTGACAAACATGTACACACACATATAACTGTAATGCAAGTCATTTCCATATGATTCAGTGTGTGTCTGTGTGATTGTTCGCACGAGTGTGTGGCCCCTATTAGGGTACTGAGCCCTGTATGGCTTCGGCACACAGGCACAATTTTCAACTCCGCCCCCTCTGCCTTCAGCCAGGGTGTGATTAGAGCCAATGCAATCTTGGGCAACCGGCACCGAGAGAGTGAGAGAGATAGAGAGTGAGAGAGAGAGAGAGAGAGAGAGAGAGAGAGAGAGCAAAAGAAAGAGTGGGCAGCCACTCTGGTGCACTCTGGTGGTTCTTGCATTGGTGTCACTGCTTCTTCGCAGTCCGACTGTTGGATTGCTGCTCGTGTAGGATTAGGACACCTGAAACTGCCGCAATCCCAGTGGACGTATGTTAATGGACACGGACGGATTTTCTTCCCAAAAAGTTTCATGGACTGAAGGAAGAGCTGCTACTCTGTGAAATAACACAACTTTGCGGACAGTTGGGATACTTTTTTTTTTTGGAAGAACATGCTGCTCTTGCCTACACCAGGAGATCTTCCATCAACAATCACGGCTTGTTCATCCCGTGTTCAAATATGGAAAGCCAGTGCGGCCTTGTGAAGAATCCCAAGCTGTGAAATGTAAGCCGCATCTGTAAAGTAACGAATACCTTTTTACCTATTGGGCAGATTTATGATGCTTGTGAGAAGCCGTTTGGGTAAATTTGACATCGTCAGCTGATTATAATGGATGGAAACCTGAGCGGCTCAGCTTTCGATGTGATCAACAGAACAGACCCCTATCACGAGGCTCTAGAGCCCTGGGGTCTGATCGTGCTGGTCGTCTTCGTACTGGTCGTCATCATACTGACTATAGTGGTGGGAAACCTGCTCGTCATCGTCGCTGTAGCTCGCACTTCACAGCTGCAAACAACCACGAACATCTTCATTATGTCGCTGGCGTGCGCAGACCTCATCATGGGGGTCCTCGTGGTGCCTCTGGGCGCCACCATCGTGGTGACTGGCAACTGGCAGCTCAGTGACACATTCTGTGAGATCTGGACTTCCGTGGACGTCCTGTGCGTGACGGCGAGCATCGAGACGCTCTGCATCATAGCAGTGGATCGGTACATAGCCATCACCAGGCCCTTCCGACACAAGGTCCTGCTCAACAAGTGGCGTGCGAGGGCGATAGTCTGCGTAGTGTGGGTCGTGTCCGCCTTAATTTCATTTGTACCCATTATGAAAGGGTATTGGCGTGACAACGACAATGAAGCAGCAAAGAGGTGCTACGATACGCCTACATGCTGTGACTTTGAGACCAACAGGGCCTTCGCTATTATATCCTCCATAGTGTCTTTTTACATCCCACTGCTCATCATGATATTCGTTTATGCCAGAGTCTTTCTAATAGCCACGCGGCAGGTCCAGCTCATAGATAAGAACCGCATGCGTTTTCAGAACGAATTTCAAATAGCGCCGGTGCAGGTGGAGCCGCACAGGAATAATGCGGCGTGCGCCGGCTCCGTCGGCTGCAGCACCGCGGCGCGGAGAAAGAGCGTCAAGAGGAGGCCGTCGCGGCTGATGCTGGTCAAAGAGCACAAGGCCCTGAAGACCTTGGGGATCATCATGGGGACCTTCACTGTGTGTTGGCTGCCGTTCTTCGTCGCCAACATCATCAACGCATTCGAGAGAGACATTCTCTCAGACACGATCTTCAGACTGTTAAACTGGCTGGGTTACATCAACTCCGGCCTCAATCCCATCATCTACTGCAGGAGTCCTGAGTTTCGCACCGCGTTCAAGAACCTGCTGGGCTGTCCGTGGTGGTCCAGCCTGTGGCTCGGTGCTTTCTATAAAGAGCTGCAGACTCGCTGCTCCTGCTTTCTAGGGCAGGGCGAGTCGGGCCCCGCGGCCGGCTCTTTCCAAAAGCCTCCGACCGGGAGCACTGAGGTCAGCGAGAGTCCGGCCAGTAGTCACGGGAGAGATAAGAGCGAGGACGATTTCCCGGATCCTCTGCAGTCCAACGGCAGCACACAAATCAGTGAATTAACTGAGCCAGAAAACAAATTGTAAGTTCCCTTTTCTCACTACTTTTTTTTGTGTTTAAAAAATATCCATCGGCTTAATTGCAAAAGTGAAATCATAGTTTCAAAAAGGTGATGTGAATAATTATGGCCGCTTCGTACACTCGAACATCAGGCTTAATCAAGGTTAAAGTGTTTTAAACTTTTTACAATAATTAATCCAATATATTTTATAATGCTAAGAAAATCCCATTGCATCTTATTTGAGAGGATAGCAAGGTGTATCGTGGTGTGTGTGTGTGTGTGTAACCATGGCTTCTTGAGTGGAAAACCTTTTTTAGTGCCTTTCCTTTCCTTTTTTTACATTAACAGTATTATCAGTACAGATTTAAATATCAACAACAGCCAATCGTTTTTCAAATTGATGCTTGAAAGAAAACCTTTGCATTGCTGCTCAGAGTGCATTTCTTATAAATCCAGATCTGGCTGCACAGTGATAAAATAGTTTGGAACAGAACGGTCCGGAACAATAAATCATTTATGGAGAATTGGCTGTAGTTGGGGTGTTGCAATATTACTAAACTACAAATTAAAATGTAGGTTCATGCATGACTCAATCAACATTTGAGGACTGCACCTGTATTGGGGACCGCATGTGTGATCTGTAATCAATCAACCCAGCTGAAAAACACTGTAAGAATGTTTGGTTCTTGTGGTCTTTAAGGTTGTAGAATCTATGGGTTTACCATACATTTCCTAATAATAGTTAACGTTATAATTCATCTTTGAAACTTTTATATTTGGCAATTTTATCATATTATATCATACAGTATTTGAAAACCACAACCCTTTACGACAAAGCCGGCTCCGTAAAAGCACCGGACGATGTAACGTTTCCAAATATTAGTGGGAGTCTCTCTGCCTGTCATCGGGCCTCTGTGTGCCCTGCCCAACGCCGCCTGCAGCAGATAAATCTTTATCATTTCCACACAAGACTTCCCCCAAAACCTGAGAGGCTGTTTACAAGACTGACAGCCAATGAGAACACCCATTTAACATGGGTTGAACGGGGTTGGGTGAATGTACCATGACAGGATGACAGCAGGCTTGTCACAGATTACACAAAGAAAGGTAGTAATAATTAAGAAGTGGAATAGAACACACACGCACAATTAAATATATACACAGTGATAGATAAAGTTTTCTCTTTTCTACACATGACTTCATCTCAGTAGAAAACAGATACGATCAATGCAGCTATAAAACAGAAGATATTTAGGAGTATGTAAAAGCCTTCCTTAAAAGGAGCCTGGTGTAATCTAGGCGGTAAATCACCCCAAGAGGAAGGCTCAGCAGAATCCCCGAGCTCTTTCAGCAGGATTACAAACCTAAGTGAGAGCAGCCGCTTGTGAACGGCGCATGCGAGGCTGCCGCTTGGAAACAGGTCAAAGGGAACCATGACACAACGGTGACACGGTTCCAGGTAGAATCCGGCCAGCTGAGGTGGTGCTTGTTAATGTGGAGTACCGATAACGCCACGCGAGCCCTCGGCCCCGTCAGCCTTCTACATCTACCTAACTAGCCACGCAAAAGAGCAAACGTGTAGATTTCTTTGCAGCAGCAGGTTCATTATAAGTTACTTTGTTTGCATACAAGAAGGCACATCACTGCTCCCCTTATCAACATCCACAGCAGCCTTCATCTTTTGTCGCGTATGTACTAAGTGATAAATGAGAAGAATTTTTTTACAGTGCAGGTTTTCTGAGGTAGAAGCAAAGAAATTATGTTTTTGTATGTTTCTGCATACCGCAGATACCTTGAATGATATTTCTGCATTCAGCAAGACATTTTTGCGTTCAGGTGACGAAGCGTATTAAGCGACTGGTTATGATTGGTAGGTGGTATGATAGGAATAATTACTTTTATTTACTGACGTGAAAGTCGACTGAGGCCAAAGAAACAGGAATTTCCTGCAGGAGACCACTGTCTATGTTCACATGTTAGATAAGAAAAAACGATGACTTTACGTTTCTTAACTCGATGTTGCAAGGGAAGTTGTTACCTATTTAAACTGCATAGTTATGTCGCTGTTTCTGTTTTGCAGTTATATTGCAAGATTCCTAATATATGTATTGAAGTTATGTATGACAAAATCTTTCCGTATTTGACAGACATCAAAACCGTTATTAGGGGAATGAGTCTGTAAGCACAGTTTATCCAAGAAATAAGAACACTAAAATGAAAGCTAACAGAGAACAGACCATTTGATTTCAAGGGGCAGCAGCCGACTGGTGGATGAATCGCAGTGTGAATGTGGAGAAGAAATGAAAAGTCTAATAGATCCGGTCAGAGCAAAGACACGCAGCAATATTCCTGCAAAATTGCAGTACAGGAGACACACGTGCACGTGAGAGAATGGAACAACTATTGCTGATCCCACACAGGAAACAAGCCGCGTGCTCCAGCTGTGCCGGTGCATCACAATTTTAAAGAGACACATGTGGGAAAAAACTTTTGTTGTTGCTGACGAAAAACAGCTGCAAAAAGTTACAGGACAGCCTTGCGTGGCCGTCGCATGCGGACACTAAAATACCGTCCATCTCAGAAAGATAAACATTAACAAGATTGCATGTAAAAAGCAGACACTGGTGGCACAGGCACAAGAAATCACTGACACCGATCGGTTCGGATTCTGCTCCAATGGCTCAGCAGGGAAAATATATTTGCTGCACTCTTTTGTCATTAGTATTTAACAAAGCAATAATTCAACCATGACATGAATCAAATAAATATGCAAAATATTTGGATACATGTTCATGGTCTCTGCTTTTGAAGTGTGGTGAGCTGGTGTTTCACACAAAGCACGGAGAGATGGACGTGGAGAGTGACATTTCCAGTATAAATACTGACTCACTAAAGCCACTACTAGTAGCTCATTACTCCAAATTAAGTGTAAATATTTCAGATACATTCATCAGAACAAATCCAAAAGTACATTGTGTTTATAATGCTGGCATCTTCGGTTTATAAATGACTGTGTGTTACTGGAACAGACTGTTCATCATTATAGGAGCTATACATAATTGTACTTCCTACCTAAGCGAGCATGACTCCTCCCAGAGGGGCCTGTGCTTCACTACTGGACACTATTTGATTGTAACACAAGTGTAAAAATATGGCACTCAGTAAATTCAGTAAACAATTGAAGATATTTCTGAAGAATTATTTAATTTACAGGGTAAGTCATCTGTAGAAAACAGGCTAAGTGGCCCAGAACATTTGCTGTGATTGACAGGTTTTTTTTTTTCTTTAAAGCTCCGTGTGGTTTCAAAGTGGCTTGAATGCTGGTGTAATAAGCACTGCAGTGAGCATTGCCGCAGGCGCCCATTAGGGCATCCTGATGTTTTGATGGTATTTTAGGAGGCCCAAGCATGGAGTCATTATTTCTTTCCTGTGCTGTTAACCCCACAATTGAGAACTTTTGTCTGCAGCATGCTAACAGGGCGTCCAACCCCCCACTCACACTCCAACTTCCATAATGTGCATTTAGTTAGCTGAGAGCAAGATCAGGCCACAGACAGCATGGAACAACGAGCAGGATGAAATGAAACACAGCGGGTTTTAGTGAGAAACCCCTAAAACCCCCTTTTCACTGATATGGGAACTAATGCATTGTGGTCTATAAAAGCAGCCATCCGGGAGTTGAGCAAGTACTTGAGAACAGTAGAACTTTAAATAGTTATGGTTTGGATGGATAAAAATAATCAACGAAGCATAACAGCAGCTAAAATCAATGCCATAATAATAAAGTATTTGTCTGATGTATTCAGAACACTAATCCTGTCGACATTTGATCATTAATGGATGATTTTAAGAAAAATAAATCATATATTGAGTCAATGTAGGACTGTTATTCAACCCCGTTTCAAATTAGGTTTATTAAACTCAAACAAGAACCATTTAAATCAACAAAACAAATGTAGGCAGGGTGTTCGCATCAGCTTCCTCCTCCAAACATACCGCTCATCCATGCCGGAAAACTTTTCATCGCTGCGCAGAGTTAGCGCATGGAGAGACCTTCGATGTTTAGTAAGCTCCTTACTGAGCAAACCGAAGCCTCAGTGTCTGCTTACACCAGGACTTGCGGGTCTTCTGCAGTCCCTCGAGGGTTTTTTGGCCACCTGCCTTGCCAGAAATCTGATGGCAGCCGCTGGTGGCTTCCTGTTTCTGCCACTTACCCATATTTGAAATATGCACTCAAACATCAGTGCCAGTCCAGATATTTGATGTTTTCTATCTCGGGCACATCTGATGCTGTGGAGCCCTGATTAGTTACATCAGGTGTTAGCAAATGTGTAGTCCTGGTGTAATTGTGAGACTGCGGTAGTATTTGTAACATCAGTTGTGCTTCCCGCCTATTAAATTTGTTTTAATCGAAAACAGTTGAAAATGTATACATTTTCCCAATAAACCTAATTTGCAATAAGGGTGAATAATTGTGAGTGCAACTGTAGGTCTGCGGTTTGTTATTTAAAATAATCTAACAAACGCATGTGTGAATGTGAGAGTCAACAGAATGTGTAATATTATTCCTGTAGGGTCTTCCATTAATAAATACATCTACTTAAAATCCCTGAAATTGTCAAGACAAGACTTCAGCGCTTCTTCCGCAGTAAAAAGGGAAACATGGAGATCTATTCCGCAGAACCATGGGAGTTCTAATGAAGTCTTTCCTGCACATTTGTTTTCCATCTGCATGAACATTTCTCGGATACTTACAATGCGAGGTAGTCTGTGTCTTCTTGTGGAGACATGTAGTTCAGGTGATAGCATCAGAATTCCAATCCTGTTCAAAGCATAAAGAACATAGTGACTGACAAAAAAGTTAAAAGTTAAGTAACCTGTAAGACAACATATCAATGTTATAGTCTTGGAAGTGGAATGTCACAAAGGACGTAATTTATTAAGAATTTAAAAGAAAAGAAGGACTGAAAAAAAGCAAACGCAAAAAATAAATATTCAGACGAGTGTTTCCATTGTAAACTATGTGTCTGCCTTTCATCCTTAGAACAGAGACTAATTAGCACACCTCATAACATTTTTAAAAGACATTATAGTCAAATGTCATCACGTGTGAGATTTACTCATGTCTTTTGTCCATCTATTTTCAGCTTCACATTGCAGGAAAGGAACGGCTGAACTGTAAAATGCCAAGCTACTGAAGCAAACTATGACAGACCAAACAGCAGCGGGGACGAGCTGAAGAACAAACACCGGTCCTAATAAAGGCAGCTGAGCAACGCTGACCCCAAAGAGACGACTGCACCGACAGCAGGGAGCACTGGACGGACTGCTCCACGTCAGCGCCTCGCAGACATTAAGTGACACCGAAGACAATGCGGGAAGGTTTTCAATGCATTCCAGTTAACGTGGGGTCACAGTGCGCTGGGGCCGTTGGTTTTTAAAAATGGCAGAATAAACCAGTTTTGTACAGTGTATTGTAGGCGAAGCAATATATATTTATTAGACATTGAATATTTAGGAGAACAAGATCATGATTCTGTCTTCAACCTCTGTGGAATACGAGCTGAACTAAAAGGGCTGTGCATTGAAATATTTAATTCTGGTGTTTGTTTAAGTCTTTCTGTTTCAGCATCAACTCTGTGCTGACACAGCACATGTCTTTGTTAAAATATACCACAACTATGGAAAATGTTAATTTCTGATTTCTGGCTGTTAAAATCTTGTATCAGCGGAACTCGATATTCCTGTCATCATCAGTATTCTGTGTGTTTAAGGTACAGTATTAAAAAACTAAAGGTCACCCTAACAAAAAACATTTGCTGTTTCCTGTAAATTCCTTACTTTTGTCAAGCATGAGCTTATAACACACTCACACATCCTTATATAGAAAACTAATGGTCTGGATGGAAGAAGAACATGGCGTCAACATCATCCATTGTTTTGTTAAACTAGTACACCTTGTGCAGTATTACTCACTTTGTCATCATCTGTTGAAATGGACAATTAAAATGTTAGGAAGCGCGTGTAGGTCACGTGTGCTCTGTGTCATATAAAATCACATAAAAATGAGTGTTCACAATTTTGGAATGTAAACAACCGCTGTAAATATTTTGCTCTGAACCCTCACAGCAGGTCACCGAGCACATTAACGGGATGAGAGACAACACAGAGAGCGAGGCGGTCAATTCACACCTATTCAACACCTATTTTCAAAGCATAAAAGTATTGGCTTCTCAGATAGTTGAGTGTAACAAACCATCTCTCAGGTCACACAATATGTTTCGATAATTATAGTTGGAAATTGCCAATAAATATTCACAGTATGATTTCAAAGACTTTAAAAAAACAATTTTCTTAAGCACCATGACCAATTCTGTCTAATATAAAATAAATTTCAAGTCAAGTCAAACATTTTATTGGTAGGATTCAAGTGAATAAAATGAACTCAGTGGAAATTGCCACCAACTATGAGTCAACCGTTATTTCTTGAAGCAGTGGCTCTTCTAAATGACAAAACTATCAATTGTATATTGTTTCTCTGGATTCTTTGGAAATCAAATTATGATTACCACAACTTTATCACGTTAAGGCTTTTCGGTGAAAACAATTTGTCGATTCCTGGTCACAGTTTCCTCCAGGCCTCATATCTATTTTCAGAACAAGGGCAGAACAAGAGGCATCTCAGTCCTTTGATACCAAACTTAAAAGGTCAGCTCACCAGTTAGTAGCCATTGAATCTAATAAGTAAACTGCATCTTAATTAGATTAACTTTTGTCAATGCATCCTGTTAATGTGACATACCAAAGGGTCCCACTCACAACTTTGCAATGGCCATCCTCTTTCTCACCACCCTACTAAGTGGTAGATGAAGGAATATATGAGTCTTTAACCCACACGGCTAAATGCTTGGAATCAGCAGTGGCTTCGTTAGAACACTTTCTGGCAGTAACCTCTGCAACTCTGTTTCCGGTTCACTGTGTTGTTTGACTCTGACGGACAACTGGTCAAACACAGATAACCTGACGCCCCACAGATCATTCAACTGCAGCCATTATGCGATGTTATGAGAGGAAAACATGCCATGCGGTCAACGGTTCGAAAGGTAAAGGTTCTATTGTCACTGCCTCACAGCGAGATAAAAAGCTATTTTTTATACTGTCACCGTTCTGTAAATCATCTTAAAGGAAAGATTAAAAATCCATCACAGGAAGTAATGAGAAACTAAATCTATGTTGATTAATCTCGGTTAAATTAGTCCCGCTAGTCAGCTAATTGACATGACTAACTAGCCATCTACTGCCATCTAGTGCAAGTTTGTGACTATCAGATTCACAACGTGAACTACAGAACCTTTTCCAAATCGTAGCTGCGCGAAGATTCTGGAAGCCGTGAATGTGAGATTTCCCGGAAGAAATTTATTTTCCAGAAGGTTGTGGTGTTTTGTTATTGCCTAAAGAGCATTCCGCTGTCCGGATGCATCTTTTTATTGGTATCCAAGTGCAATTTTTCACACCAGCACATACAGAATATACTCCGCCTCCTTTCAAAGCATCAACTAGAATTAAGATTACAAAGGAAATAGAATTACTCAATCTGCTGACAAGTTTGTCCTCTAAACTTTCAATGAGGCATAAAAAAAGGCTCCCTCTGTACAAAGATTTAACCTAATGAATCAGTGACACCAATTAGAGAAAAGAATTATGTCGAGCCCATGTTGATTCGAAACATACTAGATGAACCTGCAAGAATTATTTTGGTGGTTCTACAGAACGAATGAGTAGCAGACAGAGCTCTCTGAGTTGATTGGATGTCCGTTTTAAAGACAACACATTTTCCAACGGACTCATCTTCACCTGGAAACTCATCCTTTGATGTTCTCACAATCTACTCTATTTACCGGTAGCTCACTGTGATGGAAAAAAGTAAACTCACCAGACCCACAAATTAGGTAGCGACGAACGCATCCATCATCGTTGCCGGGGTGACAGCATCCAAATACGTGCAGTAGCTTGGCAACGGTGCCCAAACAAAAGGCTCACGGCTTGTGGGCTGATTTGACTTGCTGGCTTCAAGATGAGCACACCCGGCAGCCGCTGTAACGATAAAGTGGTCAAGCAAAATGGAGACCCAGGAGATCACCTCTCTGTGTTTACCAATACACAGACCCCAGCAGGCAGTGCTAAAGCAAGGCTGATGTTTGCCTTTAAGAAAGACACTGACACCAGGAAGGCTTACCTGGCAGGGAGAGGTAAGTCTGCTCGTACATCAGGGATGTGTAAAAAAACCAAACACCTCAAAGGGTTTAAACCCTGAAAAAATTTCAATTCAAAATGACTTTTGTTTATGTTTATGGTGTTAGTTGGACTGCTGACACTGCAGAAATATTGTGTTGTCAAGTTACTTTCTTTGAGGAGTTTGTGTTAAATTCCATCAGGAGAAGTACTTTGTGAGCAAATCATATTCAACAGTTTCTCGTTCGGACAAAAACACGTTTGCAATAACTTGTCTTCCGCAGAGTATTACAGCGAGGAAGGAACGACCTTTGAACTGCGACTTGTTCAAAAAATAAAACAGCAGCAAAGCGCTGATCCCACTTCTCGTCCCGGGTATCCATCCTCCCTTGGTGTGAGAGAATTCATTAGAAGAGCCACGGAGGTGGCTTTGGGGAAGAGCTCTCGAGCTGTAGTGGAGGATCGGGTAATATCAGCTGTTCATAAGCACTGTGACTTAATGTAGCTTGGATGTTATTACTTAATCAAGCGAGCAGAAAAAAAAACAGAGATTAAGGAAAAGCCTGTCATTAAACATCCAATCAATCAGCATTGTGCAACAAATACAACGTATTGCATTAGTCATAATAACAACTCAACTCATGGTGTTTAGTGAATTTTGTTTCAGGTGTTGGGTGTCCAAACTCCTGGTTTCACCGCTGCAGTTCGTCTTGGCGCTGAACTCTTGAGACACTGGTACGCTGTCCGTACCGTTTGGTGTGGGCCGGTCTACCTGTCGTCCCCGTGTGATGGTAAAATCCACCTGCCCTGCTCTTAATGGTTGATTAGATTACAATCTTGAAACCCAAATTACACATAATGCATGTGGCTAATAATCCCAGTGTGGTGACTGCAACAGCACGTCATGCTATGAACTCATATGTATGCCACAAGTGAATGAATAAAACCATTTATTTTTGTCATGGAGTGGCTCCATACTAGATCGACACAATGGAGTTTAAAGTAGCATTGACGTTGAGGAGTTTGTATTGCTTTAGGTCTATTCTATCTAATACAGTCTCTAATATAATGTTTTGTCAGACTCGTTGGCTGGTATCTTCCAGGCAGCCGGCATCCAAGACATCCGTGAGTATTATTACTGGGATTACAAGCGGCGGGGCATTTGTTTGGAGAAGCTTCTGGAGGATCTGACGAAGGCTCCTGAGCAGAGTGTTGTTGTTCTGTCAGCATCTGCGCACTATCCCACCGGAGCAGCCCTCTCTCAGAATCAATGGGCTCAGATTGCAAACGTCATCATGGTAACATACGGGTCCATTTCACAAACTCTCAACAAAAATGGTCAAGAAAGTAGCACCTCGGTTCTACTTCGGGTCACTCGCTCTTCCAACTCGGTCGTCACTCTTCCAACAGCGGCGCCGGCTTTTCCCCTTCTTCTTGCTGCCGCCTCAGGCGCTCTGCTACGGAGACTTGGAGCAGGGTGTCTGGCCCGTTCGGTACTGTGCGTCGCAGGGGATGGAGCTCCTCTGTGCCCAGTCGTTCTCCCACTGCTTCGGGCTGTATGGTGAGTAGGTGGTGTCAGGAGCGTCTCTCAACGTTCAACGACATAGATCTGCTTAGAACTTGCGGGCCGCGGACCAAAATGAGGCGGAGTGACAAAAGCACGATCGGCGATGTGACATTTGTACAGCCCCGAGCTGCCCGTAGTGTTAAAAGAGAGCGCAGAATGCCAGAAAAATCTTTGCTTGGTTTTCCACGGGTCACAGCTGCCTTTCTGTCTGAAGCCCTAGAAAGCAGGAAAGCACCTTTTATGCCTCTACCTGATATGCGCCCCGACCGCCCACCTGGTGGGGTCACCCAATTATGTGAGGAACAGCAGTTTGTTTCAGCGAGGCTTGGTGAATATTCCCTTTGCCCAGAACTATGTGCTCTAATCTATTTTCAAAAAGAGTCCCTTCAACGAAAAACGTTCAGCGGCAGAGGCGAAGGGAACGAGTGTGGAACAGTACATTGACACTGCTGGAACACGTTGTTTCTTGGTGACTCATCCTCTACTTCCTTTGGCAAGGTGAGGCTGTCGGGCACCTACTGTGCGTCTTAAAGCAGAAATCCCTCCTGTTTCCCATGGAGTCTCAAGCCGACAGAATAGTGAGGTTGCTCTGGGCCCAGCCGTCGGCGGGAGGCGCGTGCGTTGTCGCCACGGTTCTCGGTAACCCAGCCCACCTCGTTGAATGGTGGGTAACGCTCCATTTGAATGCATATTCTGTATATAGGGTTTAAAAAGATTGCGGCTGGGGAAGGCCACATTGCCACTGTATCGATCATGTACACTTTATAGGAATCATTTCCCAAATGCTGTCCGATCTTTCTGATCCCCAGGAAGGAGGAGGTAAAGCGCATCGTGGAGCGATGTATGCTGATCAGAGAGATTTTGAGAGAAAGGCTGAGGCTTCTGGGAACGCCGGGCTGTTGGGACCATCTGACTCAGCAAGGCGGACTCTACTGTTTTACAGGCCTGAACGGTGAGTAACCGCACCCTTAGTGCCACGTTGGACTTTGGGACGTACAATGTAACGTGCACCTTCTGTAACTTTGCTTAACTTGCAGTTCGGCCATGGTACCATAAAAAGCGATGTGCTTTTACAATATTTCTTCTTGTATTTCAGGGGAGCAGGTAGACTTTTTGTCTAAGAAGAGACATGTGTATCTGCTCCCCGACGGCTGCCTAAATGTGAGTGCAATCAACAGTCGTAACCTGGACAATATCGTGGAGTCCATTCATCTGGCTCTCACCACTTCGGACTGACCCTTTCGGCCGAGCACTATAATCACTGTTCAAAGGCCCTTTCAGTTTGTGAAGTTCTCGTTTAAATCAAACCTTTCACGTGTCATCGTTTCAAGATTACTTCGGTTGAGTAAAATGTGGGGGGAAATATGAATAATTGAACTACACCTGCCTTTTAATAACAGAGGTGTGATCTATCAAACTATGAAGCAATGGAGCAAGTCTGCTTGTGTGTTCTCATCTGATGCAGTTCACACCTGGAGTGTGTACTGATGTGGACTCAAGCAAGTCATTTGATAAGTTTGGTGCACATGCAACACTTTTACTATGTATAAAGTTTTAATAAACATGAGATAATATTGCTAAATGAATGCTAACATTGCAACTTAGCGCTTATTCACTTCCGCGGAGCCCCACAGGAACAGCGGCACTCATTGCAAACACGCCACATACCTAATCCGTGGCGTATGTACTGCATGGTTCCTCTTAAATAGACAGTTAGGTAAGCTTTTACCAGCAGGCTGCTCACATCCTGGGTTCACCTAAGTATGCTTAAGGGACGACCGGGCTGTTTTTAATGCCACTTGTGAAGAGGCTCTGCTCTGTTCAAAAATCATCACCGCTCATTTCCAAACAAACATCATTTAGATAAACCAATCACGGAATGGGAATCAAAATGGTCACTCGCATGGAAACATATTATAACCTAATGAAGTGATATGAACAGTCCTCCAACCTTTCTTTCTTTAGTGGAACTTTAATGAAAGCTCATTAGGAGGTCCTGCATTAATTCTTAAGGGAAAAGTGAAGCAGAGGCAGCCGCACATTATAGTTAAATGTAAAATATTCTTTCTTTAACAGGCAATGCATAACCATGAAAAAGTGTAACAGCCTTGTGACGGACGTTCAGATGATGTCTGGGAGTGTGTGTGTGCTTTACACAGAACAGTACATCAGCCGTAGGTAAAATAATATAAAAGTGGGGGCGGAAAATCTGTGTTTAGACTTTGTTATTGTATTATGAAAGCAGCTGAAATCACAGCATGGGTTTCAATACGTATATATATACGTATTGAAACCCATGCTGTGTAGAAAGCAGATTTGAGCCACTTTCATAATACAACTGGGTTGAAGGGCATCCATTACAGTGTGTTTTCAATAGACAGAAGCTCATTCAGTGAGCGACTGAGACACCCAGAGAGCGTATTGATCCAACAGAAGGACGATTTTTTAATCAGTAAGTTCAGATGTGTTTTTTGGATTTAGCACCTTTCTGTTGCCATTGATGTCTTCAATCCCATTTCATGATGTTATTGATCATTCGTAATTGGTTTTCTGTCTGTTTATCTGTTTGTATATTGTAGGCCGTGTGGGTTAATGTGGTGGCAGATAGTTTCCTCAAAGGGGAGTAATAGGTCGTCGTGGCGCAGGGGTTAGAGAAGGTGTGTTGGGAAGCACAAGGTTGGTGGTTCAATTCCAGGCTGCCCCACGTTCCATGTCGAAGTGTCCCTGAGCAAGACACCTAACCCCTAACTGCTCCCCGGGCAAAAATGTGAAAAAAAGCCATGGGTTTAAAAGTGTAATGTAAGTCGCTTTGGATAAAAGCGTCTGCTAAATGACCTGTAATGTAATGTAATAAAGTGTTCTAAACTAATCTTACTGAGTAGACTTTGACTGGCACAATTGTCACAAAGATTCAAGCTTCTTTTCTAAATATATGTTTGATGTCTGTCAGTTCCTGATTACATCCAGATATCAAAGGTAAGCCTAAGAAATATTGATGATATATTCATCTTCTGACTCAAACGGATTGTCTTGGTTTTTAAAGCGGGACTACAGTTAGTGATTTTATTCACTGGCTTTACCTGTAAAGCATCAAAGATCAAGCCAGCAATGTTGCATTTCAATATTAAGGTATTTGGTTAAAAAGTATAGTTATGTATGATTTTCTCCATTCTGCCTCAACTTAATCCCAGGTCAGTTTGGCATACTAGTACTATTTATTCTGTACACATGAAGTCTGTCCTTCCCAGGAGAGGAGTCCCTCCACTGCCGTTCTCCTTAAGGTTTCTTCTCTTCAAGGGTTTTTAGTTGTAGAAAGTGAGTTTCTATCTGTGCCAATGTGAGGCTTCTGGGATGATCAATGTTGCATGTGTACAGACTGTAAAGTTTCTCAGAAAATGTGTCCCAGCCCGGCGCCTCTTAACCAATCGTGTGGAGTCCTGTAACTTGTTGTGTGACCAGCATGCTCACATTGGTTGGCATAAGTAAAATAGAACACGGCCGACAATGTCACGGTGACAATGTCAATCGTAATAAATGGATCAAAAAAGATATTAGTATTCTCATCAACCCGGTTCACAGCTCACACTTCACTTTCAAAATAGAGAAACAAGATTGATTTTTATTTGAAAAGTAAAAATCAATTCTGGAGGAGGTTGGTGTCACAGAGTAAAGGAGTAATCCCCTTTATCCCTCCCCTCTATCATGCAGGTTTGTGTGGACACGCTTTTAAGAAAAACACACAGCTTTTATCTAACAAACTTCCTAACCTCTTTTTATTGAAGACATATGCTATAATGTTACCGGATACTGTGGAGATCTGAGAGAGACAAATTGCCACAAAGGCTTTAATGGAGGCAGTGTGATCTCTTTTTTCAATGTAGTGACCTGGGTAAACAACAGTGATGATCAACGTGCAGCATTACACCGTCTGAGCCATTAGATGCTGTTTGGAGCCCTTTAATTGGCATCTGAGGGTATTTACGTGTTGACAGTGTTTGCAGATACTCGTTCACAGTTTTCAAGTTTGTTTCAAGTTGTTTTCATGCATCTCAATATACCAAATACTGTTATCCCTGCCTACACGAATGAAGGGGATTCTTTAAATACAAATATTACCCCAAAAGTTACCTAGTCTCCAAACATCTGAAGTAATTGGAGTAATGCTTTGCTCGCCTTCCACAAATAGCTAATAGCTAACCCCTAAATTACATCACAAACAAGTCTGGGCATAGTAGTATAGGTAGAGTATACACCAAACAAACAATTTAAGGTAAAGCTTAAAACTTTCCTCTTTGATTTTGCTTATAGTTAGGGCTGGCTCAGGTTAGCCCGGACCAGCCCTTAGTTAAGCTGCTATAGGCTTAGACAGCCGGGGCAATTCTTAGGACACACCGAGCTCCTCTCTCCCGCTCTCGTTCTACAATAATTCACGTTTTATTAATGCACATGACTAATTCAGCTTCTCTCAGGGAGTTTTTTGTGCTTTCTCCCCTAGCAGGTCTCCGTAGATCGTAGTTCCTTCTGGACCCTGGTCCTGACACTTGCCGTGGTCCTGCTGACGCCTGCTGCTGCCATCATCATCATCATCATCATCATTATTTTAGATATTAATCATATTACTGTACTCGTAAACCAACATTACCCTCTCCTAAAGTCTCTGTGCTCTCTCTCCCCGCAGGCTTCGGTAGATGGTCGTTCTATCTGATGGTGGTTGCCCCTGCAGTGGTCCTGCTGTGCGCCTGGCTTACTACTCACAATTACTTGAATCATTTCTGTCATAGGAATTGAATGTATTATACATTGTTCATTCTGTACACATGGCATCCATTGTAGTCTGTCCATCCTGGGAGTGGGATCCCTCCTCTGAGGTTCTCCCTAAGGTTTCTCCCTCTTTTTTTCCCTCTTGGAAGGGTTTTTTTCATTTTTTGGGGAGTTTTTTCTGTGCCGATGGTGGCTTTTGGGACAGAGGATGTTGTATGTGTACAGACTGTAAAGCCCTCTGAGGCAAATTTGTAATTTGCGATTTTGAGCTATACAAAATAAAATGAATTGTCCATACACAGTGGATTCATTATTGTTAGGCGAAATAAACGTAAATGCTTTTCCTAACGAACGGTTAGAGGAGTTCATTATTTAAGATGGCCTGAGCTTATAAACTACTGCGCAAAAAAGGATGTTCTGATTTACCTTGATCAGTGATTGGCAGGTGGCATGATGAAATGATACGGCTACGCTAAGTCCGAAGCTAAGTCAGATTTACAGAATATAGCACAGGATTCACGTACATGTTTATCCTCTAAAACGCAGGCTGTGAAGGTGGAATTATTCAACGCTGTCTGGAACAGATCCTGGTGACTCCTTTGTTTTATCCCACTCCGCGTTCCACCTTTATTGTAAGCTCCTTCAAAGCGCTGTCTCTTAGGAGCGCACGACATTCTGTGCTACGTTCTAACGCGTGCTGCTGTGGCCTCGCGGATATTCGGCTGGTTTTGTGACCATGGTCCTTCTGAAGCGGATCCCACGTTTGAATGCGTTTGCAAGTGTTCTTCTGGTTTAACATGTTTTTTCCACGTTTCCTCCAGATCAGAGACCTTGAGGACATTTGAGGTAGATTTTTTTCTGTTACTTTGTACCTCTCGACCCCTACATACTGTGCGTATGTTGTGATGCTCGAGAGACAGGGAAACAACCACAAGGATCTAGTGTGCGCTTTTCCATCGCCGCTATTACATAAATGAATCAATGAAGGAATGAAGGAATGAACATGCTAAAATATACAAGATGTCGACCTCAAAATCAGAATAAAAGATTACTACACAATTCCACTAAACTGAAGCTCTCATTCAAAATGAAAGGAAAGCATGAATAGTCATTTTCAACAACAATAAAGCATTTGTCCCGTACTTATCTTGATTTTCCTCTTATTTATTTATTTTTGAAGAAAAACATTTTCTACCATCAAGGTTATAAAACGAACAGATGCTGCACTTATAAAAGAGTTCTGAAGGGTCGGGAGCTGAATAGTTTCCTGTGCTCGTTCTTTTCAAAACACATTACATTTTCCATTTCCTTTACACAACCATCTTTGAGTCAGACAAAAAAAAACTTGCAGACTGAACCCTGTGATTGGCTGCATGCTGGAGGACGAGTGAGGAGAGTTAAACTCTACTGATTACAACAAAGTTCTTGCAGCTCTAAATGAATGTGGCGAAGGCACAGACACACTGAGCCCAACTTCCACTGTGGACGTCACATTAGGATCTCCTTTAACAGGCCTGCTCTTTTGGCTCCGCACAAGGTTATTGATTCCCAATCATGACGGTACGTAGTCGGGATGGTTACGCCCGCACTTGATCGGGTGAAACTGACAGTCAGTTTGCACAAATGGAACCATGCCTTCCGAGCTGCAGCCCCAATTGTCTTCCTCACAAAGACCACTCAACATTCAGACATCACGTCCTTATCAGTCTGCCCCTCTGCCGCTTTTACAAACATTTGTAACCGACGTGGGATGATAGTTCAAACATTAAAGCCACCGTGGCCATGAGCTCAGATATCAGTGTGTGACCTTTTGGGGCGGCGGTGACGGCTATCGCCTGGTATTAGCAAGGTTCCTCCGTATTTCTCAGTAGGGCAAAAGTCATTATAATGATGTTTATAAATTGTGAACTATTCAATAGCAAAGAATATATAATGAAATAAAATTAAACAATGAAGGAAAAAAAAAACCTGTATAAAATGTCACCTGTACCTGTACAGGTTCTAACGTGGAACGTTACGCATCTCTTCCACGTCAGAAGCTCCTTCAATCATCACAGCTGTCAGTGTGGTTTAAAGGCAGATATAAAAGAGAGCCGTCAGCCACTTGTTGATCGCGCTTAACTAACACCGCCGCATACGTCATCATTAGCGTTCAAATCAGTACCGATGCATGACGGGTCGTTGCTCACAAACCCACGTGGGTTCATCTTTGCGAGGCGCGCATCTGTGCAGGTCCGTGCCAGAGGCGCGCAGCGACTCCGCGCTTTCTCTTCCCCGCATTGTGCATCGGAACACTGCGCCAGCACACGGTAGGTGAGCTTCTTTTGGAAAGAAACAAAAATCCAATTTCTAACGACAAAAGTACGTTATGGAGCCTAGATTTAACACAAGTAGAGGTCATTGCAGCAAATGTTTTAGTTGAGAAATATGGAAATGGTGCAAACAGATGCTTGAAGTCGGCATCATTTCAGTTCAAAACGCACCAACAGAGACTTTTCAGTCCGTCGCATCGCATCGTTCCGTTTTTATCTTTTTGAGAAACCAACCACAGTGAATATTTGTAATGCGTCGATGATTGTTCAAATAAGTTGTTAGAATGTCTTTGACATCTCTGTTCATCCTGCTTTGCAGAGATGATGCGCAAATAATAAATTCATTTTTATTTCTCCTCATGCGTAATATAGCTTATTGTTTTTATAATAATTATTTTCATAATGCTGTATAATTGTACAGGATTAATAACGTGATGTATTGTTATCGTGCGATGCTATAATATCTGATTCAGACTTCAATTATCGTTACGTTTTCATTGAAAATATAATATTATAGTATATAAGAGGGAACATATAAAGACAATAGTTTTGATAGCCACAAAAAAAAGGTTCACAAAACTACATGTGTGATCCGGGTTGTTACAGACAAGCAACACAATGGTTTTTATAACCTAACAATCAATCAATCTTCATATAATTGCCTTGAGATTACTTTATTTTAATGCCCCTTCTGTACTGTTAGGATCAAAAATTTAGCTAAATTGTAAAATTCCCATTTTGGGCGAATTTAGTTTATTTTTTATCAATTCTTACACAGTCTCAATCAAATAAAAATGCAACAGGTTGTTTCACTGCCGGGAGAATCCATTATCCCTCTGCTCAATGTTTTCTTATTGTCACAGTCCTTTATGTCCCCAGCTGAGCTAAATATCATTGCATGCAATCAATGTAAATTGTAGACTGCACATAAGCTGTGCAGTGTGGATAACAGCGCTTTGCTTTGATATTCATTCTTTTCTCAAGAATTTGATTAAATAACTAAGAGGTACCTGCCTGACAGTAACAGACAATGTCTTTGGCAAAACAAAAACAAAGTAGGACTCAGCATTTAGTAAGTACGTGATTTTGCAGCTATGGGAAGGATATGAATTAGAAACCGCCACTAGAATTTGTACACAGAACTCTGATCTGTTCTGATCAGCATTCAAAAGAAACGTTCCCATCTAATATATAAATTTGGCAATATGACGGTAGAATGGATCTTCATCCGCCATTCAGTCCGTCCTCGGCCTCACAGTGATATTTCCCTGCGTGTGGTTGAAGACCTGCACCTGTCTTTTATCACAATTCATGATTTCACCCCTCCAAGGTTAACATCGGCCCTTCGGGATGGAAGGCACGGGCAGCGGCTGGGCAGCGGAGCTCACTCCCCCGTGCGTGACGCAGGAAGCCGGCGGTAACGCCAGTGGTCGGGTCTTTGAGGTGGCGCTGCAGAACGGCTCTACCAAGCGCAGCCCCCAGTTCGTGGGTGTGGAGCTGTTGCAGTCATTCAAGCTGCTCATCATTCCCTGCTACACTCTGGTGGCCCTGGTGGGCGTCCTCGGCAACTACCTGCTCCTTTACGTCATATGCCGCACCCGTAAGATGCACAACGTCACCAACTTTTTCATTGGGAACCTGGCCTTCTCTGACATGCTGATGTGTGCCACGTGCGTCCCCTTCACACTGGCGTACGCCCTCAACCCACGCGGTTGGGTTTTTGGCCGCTACATGTGCTACCTGGTGTACCTCATCCAGCCCGTGACGGTCTACGTGTCCGTCTTCACCCTCACTGCTATCGGCGTGGACAGGTGATTCACCGACAATTCACATAATGCAGCACGTGGCTTTTCAACTTGATGCATTTATTCATATCCATCTGGTTATGTAAATAAAAAGATAATAGGTTGCACAATTACTTAACATGAGTGTCGTTATCTCTTGTCGCACAGAATTGCACCAACAGATTAAATTGAACGAAAGCCCCGGGATGCAGTGGAATTGTTTGCCAGCTTTATAAATACCTTTTTCCATAGTTTACATGCATAGTGTACATAGGGTTACATCAGTTTACCCACATCTTCTTTATATTATCTAATGTAAGAACAAGAATCTGTGTATTATCATTCACCTCTATAAAAAGGCTGCTCACACTAAACTACACCTCAACAACGATATTATGTAAAAATCTTATTGTTTGAGTTTTTCCATCTGTAAATCTGCCTGATTGAAGGATGGAACATGATGTATCAGACTACTTTCTATTGGTCAAAGGTAAACTTGGTTCTCTTCACAGCAGAACGCCAGAACCCCCGAATTCTGCTTTGTCTGCTCACCATGGATACAAGAGCTGAATTAGATTAGAATTTTTGTGAAACCTTTGCGGACGTGATTTATTATCATGTCCTCTCATGTTGCTGATGATGATTGCTGATGCTGGTGCTTAACAGCCCAGAAAATAATTTGTTTTTGTAAAGCGATGACTTGAATGATGTCCTTTTTTTTTTTTTTTTTTTTTTTTAAACGTATCCCAACAGCGTAATAAGGACGATCTTATCTAACTGCGGGGGGAAAGAAAACCAGACCAATCTCCTCCCTCTCTCTCCACAGATACTACGCCACAGTTCATCCTCTGAAAAAACGCATCTCTGTGTTGGCGTGCACTTACCTTCTGTCCGGGATCTGGCTGCTGTCCTGCGGCCTGGTGGCTCCGGCTGTGGCTCACACGTACCATGTGGAGTTCAAGAACGAGGGCTTCACCATCTGCGAGGAGTTCTGGATGGGCCAGGAGAGGCAGAGGCTGGCCTACGCGTACAGCACCCTCTTCATCACTTACGTGCTGCCCCTGTCGGCGCTCTGCATCTCGTACCTGTGCATCTCGGTCAAGCTGCGGAACTGCGTCGTGCCGGGCCACCACACTGAGAGCCAGGCGGAGGCCCAGCGCATGCGCAAGCGCAAGACCTTCCGCCTGGTGAGCCTGGTGGTGGCGGCGTTTGGCGTCTGCTGGCTGCCAATCAGCGTGTTCAACGTGCTGCGCGACATCGACATCGACTTGATTGACAAGCGGTACTTTCTGCTCATTCAGCTGCTCTGTCACCTGTGTGCGATGAGCTCCTCGTGCTGCAACCCTTTCCTCTACGCCTGGCTGCACGACCGCTTCCGGGCGGAGCTGCGCAAGATGTTCACGTGCCGCCGTCGGATCGGGATCTCGGCCAATAACGGCGCCACCGCCAGCGTGGTTTTGTGAAGCGCTGTGGAGTGGGTTCGTTTTTCGGAGGGGCTCTCGGCTAAACTCTTCGAACCAATGCGCCGAAAGTACCTCGGCAACTCTGCACAGCCCTCCTCTAATGATGGGAGACTCTCAATGGACAGTTTGAAAAAATATATATATATCATTATCAATGTAGCATTACCAGATGTTTAAAAAATGTTTTTACACATACTTATAATCTTGCAACTACATTACCCGCAATGCAGCTCAACCTCGAGCAGATTGGAGTTTCTGGGGTGTAACTGCTACATCAAGCATCAAGCCTCCAGCAGAGATTAACAGCAGGCTGCAGAGGTCTGGCAGGCTTAGAGTTACTTCTCTCTATTTCCTCCCTTGATTGTCAAAGTTGCAGTTGTCAGTGGCAACCAGTGTTGCTTCAAGTCACAATATAGGAGGTTGCTGCGGCTTCCTCTGGAGCCACAAGTCTTTGCTCAACCTTTTGAGAAGACTTATGACGATGCATTGATGTGCACACTTGGTGTTCTGTAAACCCAAACTGTCAACTGACAGGTGTGTTTGTACTATTAAATATATTGAGAAGCCTTATTAGTTCAACTTGCCTTTTTTTTTTTTTTAAACAGTAGGCAACTTTATTGGAAAATCGCGTTTCACCACAAACTATATTGTTAATGATGAAAAGAACTAAACCAGCAGCATGTTAATCTTGTTTCTACACTTCTGGTGGCCTGAGCTGCTATTGTGTACAATAAAACATCAAAGTTGGCAAGGAACCGTATTACATATTATATGAGGGCCACTAGTTTGTTTACGTAACTGCAGCGTTCAATAAAATAGCTAGCTTATAAAAATAAATCACACATTTATGTACATTCTTATTTAAATAACTCATGAAGGTATTGTCCAAACAATAATTATAAGAAATAGCAGAAGAACGTGGTGAAATAATTAGTGTCTTTATTTAAAATAAAACTACATTTTGCACAGTCACTTCATTCAGAACTGTAGTATTATTGCGTAGTATTGCATCATTCTGTGCGTTCTTTGCGCTCTCACTCCGGTACAAGAAGAACCAACAACTCTCCATCCATCAAAATCAGACACACAACGTTTTGAAGGCACAGGTTGACAGTCTCAACATTAATATTGCTAGAATGGCTGCCAAAAAATAAAATAGTCATATAAGTGACATAAATGTTTACGTATTAGTGTAATTCAATTACAAAGACAAGGCTGGTTGCTTATACTTGATACATGGTTGATTGTGGTTTCCTTGATTATTTGTTTCTCTCTTGGTTTTCACGTAACAAATACAAGACCACAGTGCTCAAAATCTCACATTATTATTAGAGTAGTTTGATTCTGCACTATTACTTGCATAATATTGTAAAACAATGTGCATAGGCTTCATCTTAATCACATAAGAGAAAATTTTAAAAAAGCGCTATACCTGCTGGTGCACATCTTATCTATGCACGATACATCGCAGCTGCTTGCTCTTTTTCTTTTATTGCTGGTTTTCTAAAGAACCGAAAAAACAGGACTGGACAACCAGCTCTGGCGAGTTAAACGATATAGGAATGATTGGTTAAAAAAACATAACATGCAAATCAAAAGGTTCAACAAAGACAAAAAGAAATTCAATGATTCAGTGAAAATATTTCAGTGGTAAAAGTGAATGTGCCCGAAATTATAAAAACAAGCAGATAATTAATTTTGAATTAATTTACTAATTTTTGGATGCTTGTTTAAAGCTACGTACATCACCAGTCATTGCACTTAAATAAATTACTCCAAGCCCTGTTTCACAAGTCAAAAAGGCCAAAAAAAAAAATTTGTATAGATTATATAGTGACAATTATTTTTAAATTCCAGTACCATTAGTGTCAAAACAAATACATTTGTTCGTTCATACAAAGCTGTTTTATACTTACTTGTTATTAAAGGATCTGGTATCTGTGACAACAGGCCTGATATTGGGTACCATTAGTTTAATAAATAGCAATTCACTACAATTATATGGATGTATTCAGGAAAGCCATGTTAAGTCAAGCCCAGTGTTGCTTCACACATAAAAGAATAATCTCCGTCACCTCCTCACAGTGAGGCAGCTGATTAGTTTAACAATTGTAGTGAGCCAACACAAGCCCGGGTATCGGGACTGAAAAAGTTGGATCTGTACATCCCAATTAGTTACTAAATGTCATTACAATTTCCCGCTGAAACTAAGAAAGTGCTCATGCTCTTAAGACCCGCATTGAAATTGTATCTCTCAGCACACAGTGACAACGGTACAAACGCACAACAAGCGCCACTGCGCCAGCGGGCGTTACCTCACACCGGTTTGCCTGAGTTGAGGGATTGCAGGATGGCGGGCTGCTCGTCTATGACGCGTACCAGCAGGTTGTCGATGTACTCCTCCAGCTCAACGATCTTCGAGTCCTTCTTGGACAGGTCGGCTTGCTGCCTCACCACCAGCGTGATCAACTCCTCCTGCGTCAGCTGGCTGAACGGGCCGCTGTCCACCGATCCGTTCGCTACCTGAAGCAGAGTGAGGTGAAGCAAATTCAATGGGGGCATTGTAATGAAAAACCTTTGATCGGTGCAATACATTTTGGACAGGTAAATGTGATTTTACAGTGCAACAAGGATGACAAATGTATCTTTAAAGACCCCTTGACAATTGATAAGACAAGTTCCTAATTCGGTCGGGCGGGTGGTCTGTACCTGAACCTTCCTTGGTGTGCTCTCACGGACCTTTGTCTCTTTCACAGCGGCGGTGCTGATTGGATGCTGGCTCTCTGAGCTCATGGGCTTCACTGGATGAGGCCTGGAAATGAAAGCACGTAAATTACAGCAATGCCCTCCAAAAGGATCACTGCAAGTAGGTACAAAGGTATGCAAAGCAAGTTCATCTTGCACATCGTTCCATTCGGATCAGAACGCTCACATTGAAAGTCAAAATGTCGACAGTTCCACAAGCTTTCTTAATAGTTTCCCCAAAGGCAAATATCAACACCTTATCCGCTTTCCCAATCATCAGCAGGAGGCCATAAGCAACGTCTACATAAACACTCCACAAATGCATTCTTTATAAATTTCCCTTTTCAGCTCACCTGCGTTGAGTTAAGGCTAGCCCGCCTCCATTGCTACTCTGAGCACTGACCGGCTGAACATCCGAGGGTGAGACCCATGCCCGCAAAGGCGCCTTTCCCCCGGACAAACCTTCTGAAGGAGATGCTGGCTCCACTTCCTCCAAGACCACATTGAGGGGTTCTGAGGACGTCAGCGTAGAGCTAAAGGGTTCCGCTCCAAAGGGATCTTTGCTTCCATTAAAGTCATTTTCTGTTCTCTCATCAGCTGAGGGCGTCGCTGCGATGGCCCTATTCCTGGCGCCTCTCGCGGAGAGGACTTCAGGAGCCGTGGTCACGGTCGTTTCCTCTTTAAGTCCGGGCTCTTTCCGAGACGTATAAGTATTATCTTCAGTATAAGTTGTGGAAGGAAGACTTTGTTTTTGTCTCTGTGAATTCCTTCTTTGGAAAACTGGACTGACCTGATCTGATTCAGCAAATGCGTCGGGCTGTTTCTCGTGACTGAAAATGTCATCATGGTTGGCTGGATTCATTAGCCAATCTTCTACTTTGTGCTCTTTTTGTAACCTGCCGGTAGTAAAGGGATCTGCCTCTTGGTTGGTCTTCGGCTGTGCCCACGGGTCTTTGGAGAGAAGCTCAGTACTGGGGAACGGGTCAAACTCCACCTTGCCCCTCATACCTGAACCATTGTCCATATATTTGCCTGAGACGACTGGCGTCACAGCCCAGTCTTCTTGCTGCACTGGCTCCTTGCCACTCGCCCTCTGCCTGGCTTTGGCCGTGGGAGCCTTTTTGTCCACGGAGACTTTGACTTCCCTTTCATCGCCCGGGGTCGCTGTTCCCGAGTCCATCTGGCTAGCTGATCTGGGCGAACGCATTGCTCCGGCTGATGGAAGCAACGCCCTCCTCGGTGCGTCCCTGGATATCGGCGGGAGACTCTCTCTGCTCGTGCTCACAGGTGCCGAGGCTGCTGGCAGATTGGGCCTGGTGAAAGATTGCTCGGCAGTATTCTGGCTGTGTGTTTGAATGGAATCTGCCACAGATTGAGGGTCCGGGGGCGCGACTAATTTAGGGGGAGTTGGGGCTGCGACTTTTTTGGGTGAAACGGGTTTGGTCGGCTGAGATTGTGTTTGATAATGCCTCATAGCAGCACTCTCCTGTGGGAGTGGAACCGTAACACGGAGTTCATCCTCCTCCGGGCCGTCCACATTCATCTCCGAAAAGTCACTGTGCTTCTGATTGACTTCAGCGATTATATGGTCCCACCTGGTGTGCCCTTGCACTCCGTGCCTCTTTTGAGGAAATAGGGTGTTATAATCAGGAAGTGGTAGAGACATATTCCGGCCTGGTTCGTCTCGCTCTACATATGAAGGGTTCACGATCTCTCCAACAGAAGCAGGTTTTCTGGCATTTTGGGCCCCATGTGCTCTGTACAACTGTGGCACAGGGGCTCTTCTTTGCTTATCCGCCATCAGTGAAGATTGTTCCAATCCTGGAGACAAATCCTCTACGCTGCCGCGAGGAGAACCGGACAGGCTTTGACTTAGGTTTTTCGGAGACAAGTATGAGTGGAGACTGGAGAAAGTGTCGGGGGATTGAGACGGGACACTAGAGAGGGTGGATTCAGAGGTGGCTGGGGAAGGACACGGCTGACTGGGGGGGGTTTGGCAGTCAGCAGGATCGGACTCCAGAGATGGAGCATATCTGCCAAGGAGTGAAAACAAGGCCTACAGGTCAGTGTGACCAACACAATCAACTAAAGTCATATCCACCAATGCACAACCCATCACCAATTTGACTAGCATCTCCCACGGCGACAAAAACTATTAAATTCCCAAGTCAAACCGCACACGTTTTAGGCCTTTAACAGATAGTCTCAAGTACTTAAACGCTGCACAAAATTATGACAGAATTGTTCGTGAAATTATCCACTGCGTAATCTTACCGGCCAACCAACAGACAGAAAGGATAATAGTCACGTTTCCTTGCATATTTTCCTTAGTTGTTTTTTTTTCTTCAATATGTGACCTCACATTGAGAAAACAATGTCGGCTAGAAGAAACTTCCATTATTTTACTACTCATTCCAACGTGCCATCAAAATGTGCCTACGCCTAACTTCCATCTAGCAAACCCTTTCAAAACAAAGGTAACTGTTATGGTGTCAATAATCAATGACAAGACAAGCCCCTTACCATTCTGACTGAATCCAGATCCACGCACAAAACAAACAAAAAAAACTAGGAAGAAAAACTCATTTGCGATCACTGCGGACGTCTTTAAGCCTGCGAGTCAGTCACTCCTTATGAGCCTCTGGCAGGCTACAACCCGTTCCACCAACAGCGTACAAACGCACGAAACACCCACATTCATCTGCACAGAGACCAAACTGGTCAAACCGGTCCGTCAACCGTAGGCCGGAATTCAAAGTTTTGGTCATTGAAGGCAGTCACAAGGTAGAAAGGCTTGTTTCAGTGCGGACCAAAGGTGAAGTGTTTTGGCTTTCTTCATTTACATCTGTAATTGACGTGTGCTTCTTACTTGAGCGTGGTTGAAAATGTTTTACAGTATTGCTCTGTATACACATGCTGCCTTGGCTTGTTTAGTGATTGTGACAGTGAATAAGTAAAGAGGAACATTGTTGACCCTGAATCTTATCGTCTTCTGCATCTTTCGCCAAGCGGTTCACGCTTATACTCATACCTTTACGATTTGTTTTAAACGGATTTTTCTGCGAATTCAGACAGACAACTTAAAAACATCCCCCAAATACATATCGTTGACCCCTCAGTCGGCTTCTCTGAAATGTAGTCTGGGAGTGAAGTTGCAGATTCAATAGTAGGAGAGAGTTTGACGGGTTTGCAGCAGTGGGCGGGGCTTAGCCATGGGACTTGTGCTCATTTATATAAAATGCGTTTACCAACTAAAAGGACAACAGCACCTGCAGTTGCAGTCCTCGTGATGGCGTTATCCACATTCCAGTAATGCAATTCTCAGAATAATGTCCCTACAAGTCACCAACAGCAGCCCCAGTGTCATAACAGCGACATTACAGTTCACTTTATTACATAACGTTAGCGCAGAGTAACTTGAGAAGACCTACCTGGGTTTGACTGCAGACACTTTAGCAGTGCGGTTGAGGAAGTGCGTGGCCGAGGGGGGTTGCTGGTTGCTGCTGGATTTCTGGTAATCAGCTGGTCTTCCATTGTCAATGCCAATATGAATGTCCTCAAACGGAGTGCTGATCGGTTTATCAGGATCTCCTGGGTTGATGCGAGGAGTTGCCGTGGGCGGCTCCTCTTTTTTCTCCTCCTTCTTTCGGATTATTCCAAACAGAGACGACAGCCTGTCGCTCATGGAGGCCTCCTCCTGTTGTTGTTGTTGTTGTTTCACCTCCTCGAGCCGCCGCCGCTCTGCCGCCGCCGCCGCCTCCTCTTCCTCCTCCTCTTTCTGCTTCTTTCTCCTCAACTCATCTTCTAGGGAGCGCCTCTTCCTCTCCTGTTCCACTTGTTGTCTGCGCTCTTCTTCCTCCTGCAGCCTCTTGGCCTCCGCTGTGCTCCTCTCTTCCGCCTGCCTTTTCTCCTCCTCCTGCTGCTCTTGGTGGCGCTGTTGCTCCAGCGCAGCCCTGCCTGTAGACCCACGCCTGTTGGAGGGAACGGGTGCACTCACAAAGGGGTCTACGGAGACTTGCTTGCGGACGTCCTCCACGGATCCTTTGCCTGAGCTATTTAGACTGAGGGTAGATCCGCTGTGGGGATCCGTCTCCTCGGCGTAGACGTGGGCGCCGTTGACGCACATGTTGTTCTGGTCACTGTTGCTCTGCTTGGAGCGACCCAAGAGGGAGAAGGTGCCCAGAGACTGCTTGCTGTCAGAGCTGCCCGTCCGCTTGTGTCCAAGGAACTTGAATTTCTTTTTAACTGTGGGAAGGGAGAGAAGGAAGCATGATTTTCATTGTTGAAGTGTAAAAAGTTATTTAACTTTCACCACGCCGCAGAGGTCGACACGGAGTATGGGAAAGGTTACCGTCGGGAGAGTCCGCGTTGAGGCCAGATGAGCGGCTGCCACTGAGAGATGAATTCTTCTCTGGAAGGGTCCCCAGCGTGGACATGGACTGCGAGACGTTACGCTGCAGGTTTGATTTTGGAGCAAAGAGGGTTTTGAGCTTGGATTTCTTCTTCACGCCTCCGGACTGGTTGAGTGACTGCGTGTCGGCCTCTCCCTCGCTGTCCGTGAGCACCGTGCTGGAGGGAACGATGGCTGAAGCGGAGTCAGAGAAGCCGTCCTTTTTCTTCCCACGGACTTTGTCCTTCAGCTTGGAGATGCGGGAGCGCGGTTTGTCCTGCATGGAAAGATCCAACATGCTGGCTGACATGTTGTTTCTCATGAATTGGATATCTAGCAGCACCTCGCCTCGCTCCTTGTCCTGTTTTCCACTCTTGTCCACAAGCTTGAACCAACTGCGAATGACAGCAAGAACAAATCAGATATTAAAGATTTCTGCAACATCATTGGGATTTTTTGGACAACAAATAAGCTTTTTACATTTTATACATTAAATAAATCATTCTTGCCGTCCCATTGCCAACTGTAAACCTAGGGGGAAACACTGCATACATTTTTCCCAAAACGTTTGTTCATTCACTAAATTGTACATGGATTTGTCTTTGGGGGATTATCAAACTCTGATAAATTATAATGATTATGTTTTTAAGAAAAAAAAAAACAATGAAAAAAAGTGTACCATACTAAAACGGCTATAAATATACTTAATTATTACTATTCATCGTCTTTTAACATTAGTTCTGAAAAATGTTTTCATTTGAGAATGTTAATCCTTTAAGTGACAGATGATATTACCTTGATCTATGATCTTAAAAGAATAAAAACATAAATTGCATTATTTTCCGTACACTAACAGATTATATTAAGCTTGGGTACAGTTTCCACAATTAGAACCAAAGAAGTAACTGACTTAATGCCATATGGCCTCATTAACACAAGAACGATACATATCCCTTGTGGTGCACAACAGTTAAAAAGGATTCAAGTTAAAAATTATATATATATAATATATATATATATATTATTTTTCATTAAAAAGGCTTCAAGTTAAAAATAATATTATATATATATATATTTTATTTTTAACTTGAATCCTTTTTAACTGTTGTGCACCACAAGGGATATGTATCGTTCTTGTGTTAAAAATAATATTGTATATATATTATATTATTTTTAACTTGAATCCTTTTTAACTGTTGTTAAAAAGGATTCGGTGGGGTGTTCTAAGCAAAATGCCAAACACAGACGAAGCCTGACAATTACAGCTCTGCCGAGGCTCACGTCCTCCGTGTCAAACAGGAACTGCACCAACTGACAGCAAGGGAAAGGTGAGACGGTTCTAGAGAAGTCTTTCTAAAAACACGCAATTAGTGCAATAACATTCTGCCACGTTATGCTTGTGCAATTAAAGCCTAACCTCAATGCTGAATGTACCAATAGTGTAGCACAAGTCAATTATTCTAAGCCTTAACATTTCAAACTGCTCTACAGCAGAACCTTCCAACTGTGTCGCTTACAGTCTGTTGACAATTGGTAACAAACATCTGTGCTGACAAGTTCACTTTTTTTAAAACATGTTCAAAATCCAGAATGTGCCAAACACTTTAGCATTACAATGTAATACATGTACCTTTATTGACTTAATTTCTATGGCTTGTTTTCTGTCAAGCCCCCCCTTTAATCATACAGGAACATTGAAAGAAACACATTTCACACCGATTCTGCTGGATTTATTTGTATTTCTTCAGGTCCAACCACACTTCATTGTTATTGTATTTGTTGATTATTTATATATATATATATATATATATATATATATATATATATATATAATCATATCATCTCCCATGTTATTGTGTTACAATGTGTGTGTTTGTAGGTTAGTGATGTGAAGCTGCCCTGTAGCTCGGCTCCCACTGAACATTCGTCCCCAGTGTGGAACGACCTTTGTTGGGTCGTGTGTGTGAAGAAAGAGTAATAATGCACTGAGAAAGGATTGTTAAAACCTGTGAAGAAAGACCCTTTAGGTCACTGTGTGATTTCCTCTTTGATGACTTGGAAGAATACGACGTGGACCAAGTACAGAGTGAAGTACAAAACATGCCTTTGCATTAACCAGACCGATATTTGAAGTTCACGAGGAGTTTACCGCCTGCAGCGTTCCTCCTAGTGTCCGCCATTGCAAATCTCCAGTCAGCAAGCAAGCACATTCCTCAAACGCCTTCAGACACGCAGGGTGGTGCTGTGCCGTACGAGATGGATCATTGAAAGTCACACCGAGCCCAGTTTAAACATTTCAAGTCAAACAATAGCTAACTAGACCTCACCAGAAGGACCGGATCACGCTTTCTCACGCCAAACAAGAGGCTATTCTCGTCTTGACGACGTCTGTTAGAGCAGAGAATGACACACAGCTGGCTGTATGGAGACATGCATTACAGCCTTTGACAGGCGGCAGGGTGTACATGGGTCGGTTATTTGCATAGGAACACACGGCTGTACACAACACACGCTCTCAGCAGTCCTGCTAGGCAGGTTCCTGGGTTAATTGTCAAGGGCAATTCTCTTTTCACGTTTAATGATTAACAGGAGAGAGCGGATGTATCATACGAGTGGAGTCAGACTATGAAATAAAGTAGCGTCGATACTGTAAAATAGTGATTACCCCAAAAATATCACTTTAATACTCACGGATGGTAATTGCATTGCAAAAGGGTTTCAATGTATTCATAACATCAAATCTTACAAATCATTTATAGAAAAGGCAGGAAAACATTTAATATTGTATGATACTCTGAAGGGCATTCTCGTGTTCAGTGGTTCAAAAAAAGAAAAAAAAAACTAACCGGAACGTCTTCTATTTTAGTTCCACTGCTCTGCTTTTTGTTTACAAAATAAAACGATACGGCTCATGTGTCTCTAGAGAAACAATAACTTGACCCTTCCGTTGCTGTTCAATACGTAACTCAGTATGTAGACCGGAGACATAAACTCGATGAAAGAGAACGAATGTGATGATGGTTTGAATGATTACGTTTTTTAATCATAAAACATTAATTGATAAAGACGTGCAAGTATAAGGCTCCAAACGTGTAAGAATTGGTAGCTTTTTGTTAAGTAATTGAAATCTTAGAAAAATAAATAAAAGTGATGGAGTAAATAAGCCTCCGGTTGGTCTCAATTGTAATTAGCTACAGCCATAAAAAAACTTTTAAACCCCTTCACACCAAACCTAAATTTAGTGACCAGTCAAGTCTGATAATTTGTGACAATACAGAACTCCTTTTCTCATCCAAGCATAACCGAACAGCACAGTTTACACCATCTTCCTCTCGAACACACTGCATTCTGCTAGGCGACGGGAAAACGCCCCTTCAGCAGGACAACAAAGTCCTCGATGTCGCGGCCTTCATCAGCAGGATTGTAACCGGACACCTCGCGCTTCACGGCAAAGACTGCAGCACACGACACGCTGCACCTTAAAGGAGACGCAGGGATGGAGGCGAGCGGGGAGGCTGGAGGCCCGGAAAAAGCTCACGGAATGAACTTTGCGGTTAAAGTGGCTTATACCCACCGAGCAAACACAAAGATAACAGATATGACGGTACAGTAACCAAGGGGAACGAGGTCACTGTATGGAAGTGGTGACGAGTGGGAACAAAAAACAATCTCACGTTTCATATCCAACCAGCTCTCATCTTCACAAATGCGCTGACGGAAAAGGGTGCGTGCATCCAAATTAAACACCACTTCAATGTTTTACTTTGTTTTGCGGCCCCTCCCTCGTTGCGTCAATCCACTCGTCACATGTGGGTGTGAGCGAACCCATTAGGGAGTAAAGCACAGAGGAATGTGCAAGAAGGACAGCAGCGATGCGAAATGCCAGCTGACAGTTGAAAAGTTGGCGTCACACTAATTGAAATAAAAAGGTCAAAGGCCAAACGTTGGGCCTGATCGAGTGGAGAGAAAGGACAGAGGAGAGTGTTGCGATTAGGATTATCTTAGTCCGTTTACCCACAACCTCCATAGTTTTCTGTTAAAACAACCCTGAACAGGAATAAGGGGAGAGACGATCCGTCACATTGTTACGCCTTTCAGGTTAATGGTTTTCTTTATCACTTATCACTGCAAGTGTTTTGTATACTAAGTAGACGTTCTCATTAAAATACTGTATTGTTGATTTTGGCCTCTACTTATCTCTGAAATTATACTTGGCTTGTTTAGATTACAAAACTTGACTTTACTATAGCTATACAAATCAGGACCTGAAAAAGGTGTTAAGTGCAGCTGTTTTATAAAGATTTAACTAAAAGCCCAAAGATACAATTAATTTAAATTATTTAGCAGAAATAGTTTCAGTGGTCCTCAAAATATGGGCTCCGGGATATCAGGCGTTTGTTTACCCACCTATTTAAGTTTAACTGAGCCCTCAAATTGGGTGAGTCATGAAGTAGGTGGAATTACACGGAGTGTGTCTGTGAAACAATTTCGTCTTGTGAAAGTTTGCGAAGTCCCTCGATACTTACGCAGTCTTTTTGCGAGCGTGGTCTTCGTGCAGGTCCAGCAGGTGGACCACGGCTTGGCCCAGGAACTTGTCGAGGCCCACATGAGCGCGGTGCATCGCGATGACGTACAGCGTACACCGGTCCCCGTTGCCCGGGTGGAAGAGCGGCAGGTCGAACGACGCCTCTTCCTTCCACACCGGCTCGACGCTTTTCTCGGACACGGTGGTGGAGAACTTGTCCTTGGCCACCTGCATGATGGCGTAGGCGTCGTTGGTGCCATTCTTCCCCTTGGCACGCAGGTTCCGAGCCTGGTGGACCGTTACCTGGACGCTGGTGGGGAACCACTGCGCGCTCGCGGCGGCGAGAGACATCGCCAGAAGCCCGCGGAAACTCAACCAAAAGTGAGTCCGGGTGGTTTATAGTACGGAGTTTACTACGCCGGGCTGTTTCTGAGCCTTTCGCTGGACTCCGGTCTACCTTTCGTTGTCCTCCGCTGCTGTAGGTTTGAGTGAGCGAGCGTCTCTTCGGTTCAGGAAGCTCAGGTGGATGTCGTAACTTTACGTTAATACTTAACGTACCCCTCCCCTCCTCGCCGTAACGCGATCTCCGAGACTCCAACAAACACTTAGTTAACACTCAAGTCAACCAGCTTTAGCGTTACTACCGACCAACCAGGAAGTGACCGCGGTGTGACTCATTTCTTAGAGAGGCTTTCATTAAAACAATTCACTTGTTTTGCCTCCGCATTGTAAAACGCCCCACTTCCCTGATGTTGAGAGGTCCCACCCATACTCTTCATCGTGCTGCCCGATTGGCTAATATTTCCGTCCGTTTTTCAGGTTCGTCGGTGATTGGACGGTGGAGGAGGAGGAGGAGGTCGTTGAGACATGGCGCACTGCTAAAAAGTAAACTGATCAGGAGTCAGTTTATTTTTGTTGAAGTTATGAACGGATTTGAAAAGACGATGGCCTCGCTTCTTTTCATTGGTTGGTTCTTCAACAACATTACTGCAATAAAGCCAGATTTAGTCTACTATGTACTGTTTAAGAAATTAAATAACATTAGTAAAAAAGCAGACCTATAGATTTTAAAGGATAAAAGTCGTCTCACGCCGAACACTGTAGTATCATCTCCATCTTGATCTGTCTCCCAGGACATCATCAAGATGATAAAGGCCACAACGAAAGCAGTATTCCTTTTGGTAGTTACTGGGGCTGAAGTTGAATAAAAATATTGAAAATCGGAATAATTTCTTTGAACGCTTGTGTGATGTGAAAAAGTAGCCTATACTCCTGAGACTCAATGTTTTAGTAGAATAACATTACAGATAGAATATCTATATACTAAAGCAAGTGTGCACAGACATGAGATAAATTACTCAAGATGCGTTAGTTACCTCGACACAATTACATCAAGATTTATACTGAATCATCCACAGGAAAAGACTCTCTCCAAGTCATGATCATTTTCATGTGTGCATCCTGAATACATCCTGTTTACAACTGATTAAACACTGCACACAGGATACATGCTCAACAGACTTACCATATTAGCACAGTTATCTCATGAATACTTCCTCATAAAGAACAAAAGGAATAAACGATGAGCTGCATTGAGAAACACCATTTTCTGTCTATGTAATTTCCTGAATTGCAAGGAATTGAATTGATAAGCAGAAGTAGACTTTTGTAATTCTACTCAAATGTGAAGGCCACATTGTCATGTACTTCAAAAAGTCTGATGCTTGAAAAGTATTTTGTGGGCACTCATTGAGATACTTTGAACACCTGTGAATAAATAATGGTGAGATGTATTACTGTTATGTCAGTATTAGTTGTACACATTTGTCATTGAAAAGACGTCATTGAGATTTGTCTCACTTGCAAGGATAACACGTTTCTCTGCCACCCAGGAGGGGGCACTCATTCCTGCCTTACACCAGAAAATCACCTCAGCTGGAAGTGAACATTGAATCAAGAGACTGGGGTTTTATTCCTTCTGAATCTACTTGATAAGTCGGGCTGTTGGAGTGCTGGGAGCTCAGCAAAAACAAATGAAACACTTTCAGCATCTATTCAAAAGTCTGGAACGTTTTTTTTTAATTCACTGAGATTCTGTACAGCCACAGTCATGCAATTACTCGACTATCATTTATGCACACACACACACACACACACACACACACACACACACACACACACACACACACACACACACACACACACACACACACACACAAAAGTATGTATGAACCCAAACAAACAATTACTTGGAGCAAACAAAAAAGAGTGAAAGGTTGTCCGCAGATTAAATGCATATACTGTGCTGTACTTTGGAACTAGATGAGTTTTTACTCCATTTCATGCTATAGTTGATATGCATAGAAAAATCACAACTAATACAGTAAAGCTTTCATTAGACATCCAAAATCAACATCATATGCCAATTCCAGAGATATCTTGTACTTTGTGAAATGATTCAAGATGAATGAGCCTCTTATTTTTCAAAAAGGGAGTAGAAAAAATCTGCCTCATTGTTAACCATTTCACAGCAAACTCTTGCTACAAGGCAAAAAGTACCAGTTTAGCGTCCTGGATGCCTTAATGATTTTATATCTTAAATTATATAACTATTATAATCAGGAGACCGTTAAAACACAACCCAATCATTTTAGTCCATTAGGGCCATGCATAGAAGTTCACATATAAGTATACGTTACACTGTGGTTTCACTTTTCCACAAACCACTCTTCATTCCAACCGAGCTCTGGGATTGGTCCGTGCCACTCATGTCCGGTTCCAGCTCGAGCCCTGACTTTTTGAGGGTGCCATTTGGGGCAGCGGCGCCGGGCACCGTGGTGGTGGCGGCACTGTTCAAAGGGTAGGAGCAGCGCTTAGTGTCTCGCTCCAGCTTCAAATTGTCTCTACTGGCGCAGCGTCTCTGAGCGCCGTGCATGGCCGCTCTGCTGGCCATAGAGGGCGGCAGCGGGAAAGGCTTGCGACTTCCGCTGCTTCCCCCGTCGCTTCCCTCCGAGGGGCTGGTCGGCACCGACTGTCCGAGGCGCTTCCCGTTGGCCAGCGGGCTGGCCTGGCTCTCTGAAAGGCTGTGCTGTATGCTGCCATTCTCGCTGGTGGCCTGTTTGTGCGCAACATGTGAAGAACCGAGGTGCTCTAAACCAGTGGGCCCTAATGCTCCCAGGCTGCCCCCACCACCACCAGTCCTTAGCGCTTTGAGACGATAGTGGCCTCTTCCCTCACTCCGATGATGATACTGGCTGCTTGCTTGTTTTGTTCTGCTAATCACTTTCCTCTTGTGAGGATGCAACGGCGCTGCAGAATTAACAGTGGGCAGGACATTGTTCGTTGGCTTGTTGTCAGCACTGGCGCTGGCGTTGTTACCCACGGGGGCACGTGAAGTGTTGTTGGGGCTTTCTTGAGCCACCTGCAGCAGGTTGGTGAGCTTGCAGGGCCCGGGGCCCACGCTGCTGATTCCACTCGGCGTGGACGATGACCGAGCGGATGAGTTGTGGGAGTCAGGCGGTGGATGGCAGTTGATGAAAAGTTGCGATCCCTGCTCAGAGGTCTGCGTCCCACTCCCCGCCGCGCAGGTGTGCGCATAAGCAGACATAGGATGGGAGCGGCGGTAGCCCGGGCAACACGCCATCCACGAGGCCTGCACGTCCAGGCGTCGAAAGCAGTGGTGCGCGACCAGAAAAACCCCCAGGACCGTGGCAGCAATTCCATAGAGACAGCTGAACAACAAGCCAGCGTGTCCGGTCAGCCACATTGCCATGGCTCCGCAACACCACAGAACCACAAACAGGAAATGTGTGGCCACCAGCACTAGGAACTGTGTCTTAAGAGGGTACTGGTCCTCCGGGACGGCAACAGGGTTCATTGGTCCCACCGCCGAGTCTGTGGAGAGGAGGCTCGTGCTTCCTGCCAGTGCAGGCTGGCGTTCAGTCACAGGAGTGGACAGGGTGGTTCCCGTGCATTCTTTGGTCACGCGGTGCCTCAGGCGAAACACGGTGCACAGGAAATAGATCCAGGTCACCGACAGCACTAGGCCAGCAGGGACAAAGAAAGACCCCAGACTGGGGCGCCATACCAGCCAGCAGCTGCAAGAAGCAGAGAAGGAAGTCAGGAAGGTCAGGGCAAGACAAGGACACGTCTCTGTGTTCAACGTATCATAGAGAATTATGCGCTTCAGCAGCACAAACAACACAAAGTCATGGGCCAAATGGCTCGAGACAAAAGGAAAAGAGAAGCACTTACTAAAGGCTGTTGTCGCCGTAGTTGTTGACATTGACAGCTGCAGTTATCCCACAAATGATGAGAGGAACTCCGCCGGCTATCAAATAGAACCTTTAGTAATCAAGGATAGAGAACATATATCAAACACAAGTTCCAAGCCACAGTTTGGGAAAGAAAGAAGCAGTGATTGTTTGTGCCACAGGGTGCAATGTGACCTTTGGCTGCCACAATGTTTTTAAAGTTTGCCAGTCTTTGTAATTTCCCCTTTTCTGTTTTTATGTCTCCCCGATCATTTCTAATATGAACAGAGCTGTGTGATCCTTCACTTTCACAGTGGGAAGATTGTTACGAGGGTCAGGATAGACTCCAGAAGCCAGTGATTTATTGTACCCTGATCCCACGTGACTGAGTGGGCCACAAAGGGGTAGTGGTCAGGGTCAGCGAAGGTCAGTGTATGATCGCAGCTTCAGGATCACAGGGGGAGTAGAAATAGAACGGGATATGTGGTAGGACTGTGCACCCCCTTGAATCGCAGTGCTCAGATTTAGAACGACCCCTCTGCGTCGGGTTATATTGGTTTCATACATTCCTCCCCTCCCCCACCAGAGTTCATACAGGCGTGAGGCTTTTCTTTTGCCTCACAGCAATACTCTCTTATGTCCCTGCAAGGTTTTTTTCTTCTCAAAAACAGAGAGACTTTGGTTGTCGGGCACAATGACCCACTTTGACGGTAACACTGTGTGTGGCCACGCAAGAGCGCACCCGCATCCGTCTCAGAACATAAACCATACTGACAGCAAACAACAATCTCACAGTGCAGCAAGCTGGTGAAGGTTACGGCTCGCTCACTGACCTGAGCATAGGTCGCTGAGTAGGTGGAGCAGGAGACTCTCCCTCCGGTAGCCGTGGTATTCTCCACACGGCTTCTTTGTAAAGGACCCTGGCACTGACCCCGACCCACAGCAGGGTCGACAGCGAGGAGTAGTGCAGGGCGATGCCCACCTGTCGCATTTCACAGTCAGGTAAGACATCAGGCTTCACGCACACTACTACTACAGACTACTAGCACGTGTTGTGCTGTTTAAAATGAATACTTACTGCTTGACAGACCACTGGGTAGCTGGTCAGGCTTATGCCTCCTGCGTAAATGGCCGTCGTCATAGCGATGTGAAAGCAGGTGTTCAGCAACGTGTGCCAGCTTTTTCTTGATAAGTGAACGGTGCTGTAGGGGCACAGAGCTAAATAATGAGGAACAGAAGAAAACAACAAATAGCAGCACATATCACTTTCTTAAAGTAAACTGCGATACCTGTGGTGCAGTATGTGCGTGATGATGATGGTGAAGAGGCAGAGGAGCAGCAATGCAGTGCAGGCGTAAACCACAGGGTGGAGCACCCTTCCAGAGATGGGCGTGGAGTTGGGAAAGTCAGGCACCTCCTGGGAAAGAAAAGTCCAGTGGAAGTCCGATTCAACCGGGTTGATGCTGGATTTAGTTAAATACTAATGACCAACATACCTGCAGCACGGCATAGTTGCCGAGCACAGAGCAGCGCATCGTGGACGTGCTGCTGTCACTGTGGACCAGCTGACAGCCCTCGTCGCTCCAGCCTCCTCGTTTCTCGAGAGCCGCGAGGCTCCACTGAGCCGCCACAGCATCAGTACCAGGGGACAAGTGACGCAGCGAAACCCAGATGGGCTCTGAGTGGTTCCTCCTGCTGCAGCCGTCTGCCACAGAAATGATAACTGGACTTGAGTTTCTACTTCTATCAATATTATTTCTTTCTAAATGAAAATGCGAAACATTCTTTTGGCCCCCAAGACGTTAATTTATTACTAGAAATAATAGAAAAACGAGCTTTCTCACCCAGGCCGACAAATATGACCGGAGTGTTGACGCTACGTCGGCGAGAGTGTTCCCCAGTGTTGCTCGAGTTCCCGGAGAGAGGAAAAAAGCTGCCGGTTCTGAAGGCTACAAACTGCAGCTTACAGTCCGCAGGAGCATCAGGAGGAAACAGAGTAGCTGGGAGAGTCACAGAGGCCAGTGCTACTGAATTCTGAAGAAGAAAAAAAAAACACGCACATTTTGTAATTTCTGTTGGCATCCACCAGCATATCTGGATGAAGAAAGGTTAATGATGGTACTGTATGCAGTAATAGTAGCTAAAAACGGACACACGAACGGGTGTCCACACCTTACCTTAAGTGGGAAATTGTTGAGGGAGGTGTTATGGGAACCGGTGCTGCAGCGAAAACGAAGCTGCTGCTCATGGGTGGACTCTGACCTGTCCATTCCCAGGCTGCTTGTTAATTCTTCGCGGCGCTGATAAGCAGTGCAGGTTATTCCCGTGAAGTGGGCTGATCGAATAAAGTGCGCCTCCATCACAATGTTTCTAGACACCTGCAGGTATTACATGTAATAACAAAGATTAAGGTCTCCTCCATCTCCTCTTTCATTGCAATAAACTGCAAACACATTCAACAAGATTCTCTAACAAAAAGAAAATGTCTGTGATAAGATTAAAACAAGTAGTATGACATTCCGTACCATGGAGAAGTCCTGAGCATGACCGTGTAGCTGAGGCCAGGCCATCGTCTCTAGCGAGTAGACTATGGAGCTGCAGGCTCTCTTTTCTCTCTGCGCTAGAGCGAGCACCTGGTCGTCCACCTGCATCACGTTGCTGCCCATCTCCACCAACACCTCTGACAACTGGAACAAAAAACACGCAGGAATTTGCAGACCAAAGGTTAGTAAAGCAATATAGACATACCTGTATATCTCAGTTTTACCCAACGCGATCTTTCTCACCTCTCGCAGCTGTTTCACATACTCCATGAACTTCTCCATCATTTGCGCCACATACAACACATCCACAGAGTCAGTGAAGCCTGCAGCCTCCAGGGTGTATGTGCGCACCTGATGAGCCAAGGTGAGTGCGTTGGATGCATTGATGGGCCTCTGTAAAGAAAGAGGAAAAAAGGGCAACGTTATACGTGCTGTTTACATGTGAACAGGAGGCATGTAATGTAGGACACTTAGGAACCACCGACCAGGATGAAGGTATGTAGGACACGGGTGATGCCGTTGGTGTAGTGACACTCTGAATAGTCAGCCTCCTGCCAGTTTCCAGAGCGGTCACATTGTCTGGAGGCCTTTTTCTGTTCGATACCTCCTTCCACAGACAGGGACGGGTAACGCAGCTGCAGGCAGTACTGATGGGAGGTGATGCCTGCCAGAGTTCTGGGCCACCTGGGGATTAAAACCGTGTGAGTGTAAGACCGCTGGATCTTCACGCGCGTCCTAATAATACGTTTAAGTGTGACAAACCTGAACTCCCCACGGTTGTTGACAACTTTATCCTCTGGACAGAAGGAGGCGCTGTTCTCCAGCACCAATATTTCAACACTGCGGGACGCGTTGCCCCGCCCAGTAGAAACCACACACTCCCACTCTCCCTTGGCCTCCACATGTACGTTGAATAGAATAAGCTCACTGGATATAGAGGATAAAGACAGCTCATTATGACACATTATCGCCACATGCTCCATTGTGTGTCTGAACTCGTAAAACATTCATCATTTATGGTTTATCGGATCATTCAAATTGTCTTTGCCCAAGAATTAAAGGTCACAGACGGCTGAAAGGAAACAGCACCGAGGACGAAAGAGAGCAGTCTGCTTCTTTGAGTTACTCAACTTCCTTTACCTGGTGATGAAGGTGCAGTCGTGCAGCACACTGTTCTCCAGCTGGACAGACATCTCAGGGTCAGAGGTCACCAGCTGACCGTTGTGACGCCAGTGCAAGGTGGTGATCTTGTCCACCAAGGCAGCGGTGCAATGGAAGGGCAGCCGGTCGCCTTTGAAGACCACCTGACGCTGGGACGGCAGCAGCGACAGGGTGTGCAGCTCCAGGGGGCCGTCTGAGCAACATAGTCGGACAGGACGGGGGATACGACCGTTACCGATAGTCAATCCACATTATTCTTCCTGCTCTCTCGTTGCTCAACCTCAGCTGAATGTTTCCACAGAAGCCATTACGAGTCTGCAGCTCCGACACCGATTGGATGCAGACGGCACAAATTCTAAAAATTCAACCCTGAGGATTAGTTCACCGATGTGTCTCTCTTATGCTGGCCGGAATTCATCTCTTTCAATCCAATTTGCTATAGTAACCCTTAGAAATACTGAGACGATCTTGCGCGCTGATATGAGTGTAATTTCATTGTCCACAAGCCAATGTTCTCTGAAACAAAGCGGTGAACCGCCTCATTCGTATGCCTCGTTTTTAGCCAGACACTCACCACAGTTCAGCTGGTTTTCCTTTAATCCGCGCAGGGGCGTTCCCCTCAGGTGCCTGGGATACGCACACAGCGTCTCGTCCCCCAGACGGGCTGAGGTGCCGCGAAAGAACCCCGGGACCCAACGCAACCCGCAGTCACATGACAGGTAGTCCGAGTTGAAGTTCCTGCAGAGAGAAGTGACGGTCATTTATCTTTATTTTTAATCCATCGGGCTGAGATGAAGTGTTATTTCTTCATTTTAGGATTGATATGTAATACCTGTGCTTGACAAAATAAATCCTTAAAAGGCTTGTTGCATATTTGTCAAGTGAAAACAAAAGTTGAAACACTATTTCTGTTACATGTCACAGACATGGTATGTTTGCTCAAAATTAAATCTACTGTTTAACTGAAAAACTGTAAGCCCCGTTTATAAAAAAAATGAAACAAAACTTGGTTCAGATCTGAAATGTTTATAGACTAACTTATAGTCCCTAAACATTTCAGACCTGAAAAATGTTTTTTCTTCTTCTACTTTATGGTTGTCTACGAAATATGTGTTTTTCATCTACAAATAATACAATGAAAGCGTGTCAAATAAATCAGCATCTCCAAATCTTCTGTTTTTCTTCAGACTTGAAGTCATTGTGAAAACAAACCCTCGGTAAAATAAGCAATAAGTCTAAATAAGCTTTATTTTTGTCAAGAACATTCATTGTTTCCTTCATATTGGGAATGCTATGTTGTGAGTGTGAGTTTGACTGTCTCATACTCACACAAGCTTGAGCAGCGGCAGCTCCTGAAACACTCCTGCGTCCATGGTCGATATGATGTTACCAGAGAGGTTCCTAGCAGCACAAAGCAGTTGATATGAACTCCACAGCTTTTACAAAGCATGAAACATGTTCATGGGCTCTGTCTCTTACAGTCTGGTGAGATTGGTCAACCCCTGGAACATGTCTGCAGTCAGACAGCCAATGCGGTTGTTGGACAGGTCGCTTGAAGTGAGAAAAGACAAAGGAATGTTATTTTGGAATCAGGAGGACTCGTCACAGTCACAGATTGTGATATCTCTGCTCTTTCAATGCCCGTGTTGTTTCAATGATATCAGATCAAACGCTTTACATCGAAGATAGAAGGTAAAACGTCGCAGGACTTCCTTCTTTTTTAAATACAATAAAGCATTTTCCACAGCTAGAAAGTTAAGGCAATAAAACACAAGCATGCGCACTTTCTCTTATCCCTACTCCATGGGACGCAATGCAAAGGTTTATCACTGATGGGGTAAAAGCAGGGCCCCCGTCCTGTCGTCCACCTCCGAGTGTGATGTATAGCCACAGCCAGAGAGGGATCTGCTCTGTTGCACCTCTGACACTACCCAGTAGAGAGCTGTCCAGAGCATGTGTTTATCTCCCCCTGTTTGTTTTGAAAAGCCCCAGACCTTGCAGGGAAAACACAAGTAGTGGGAGGAGGGAAGGGGAGTCACGCGGTGCAGCGCAGACGACCAGCTTCGACCCGCGCCACAACCAGACATCTGCAAAAGGCGCGGGGATGGAGCGGCTGTCCCGTCCCCCCCTTCCGATGGCGTGAGAGGAGAACCGGCCTTGCCCTGAGGTTCCCACCGCGGCGCACGCAAGAGAACCGGAGACGACATGGCGGGGGCCCTCGCGAGGACCGACAGAGGCGCTTAGTGAAGGAAGCCTTTATTGTCACGCTAACAACGGGAGCTCAATGTAACACCATAATGATGCCATCTGCCATGAGCTGCCAAAACAGTGTCTGCTTAAGATGTGACGGGATAAGTGGGCCTGTCACAGTTACTGTGAATGGTGTGTTTGTGTGTGTGTGTGTGTGTGTGTGTGTGTGTGTGTGTGTGTGTGTGTGTGTGTGTGTGTGTGTGTGTGTGTGTGTGATAAAAAAATAAAACTACTATATGTATCACTTTAAAGCCTTTTTTATGATTTTTGTTGATATGTTTGCCACACTGAAACAGCATCATGTTAATGTCTACTTACAGTTTCCGAAGTTCAGAAAGACCCTGGAAGGCTCCAGGCACTATGGTGCTGATTAAGTTGTGCTTGAGGTCTCTGAGGAGAGAAGAAATATTAGACTTGATGAGAAAATGCTTCTAGGGATGATGATGTGTCGAAATCAATAGTTCTATGGAGAAATAGCAAGTTGGCTTCCTCTTCCTACCAGCTCACTAATTCACATGTCTTATTTAGTTTATTCCATACATGCCAAAAACAAAGTAGATTAACTGCCATTTTGAACCGGGGCAGGCTAGAAGTTTCCCCAGGGTTCCTGTCTTAAGGCGAAGCGAAGCGAACTGCTGGCTGTAGCTCAAACAGAGAGAGCGGTATCTATCAGCACATCCAACTTTCGTCATTCGTGTCAAGTTATTCACCAAAATGTTCAAATATTCTTCTAACACTTTCTAGACAAGACTTCTTTGAGTTTAACTGGACTGGAGGACACATTTCTAAAACACGGCTCCTCCAGCGGGACACAGCTGGGGATTTCTGCACACGGATAGGAAATCTTATCCCATCCGCCACCTGGGCATGATGAGCTGCAGGTACTCGACAAAATAAGATACTCGCCAGATCGAGAAATTGTTTGAAATCACTGTACTTGTGATAACATTCAAAACAATACATATAAATATATTAACCTCACTTTAAAGATTGCATTTGATGCTTTGTGCTGCATTTCTCTCCACCCCTTTTGCATTCAGCACCCTCACCCTTGTGTTGGACTGTTTGACCGTTTTTCCTTATTGGCCAGGAAGGAGGTTAAAACAGACCAGGAGACAGGACATATACACTGTTGGTTGGAATGCAATCCATGTTCCTACGATATGAAAAAAGCCTGGACCGATCATAGATGAGGATTTCCTTCCAGGAGCTTTAAAAACACCAACGCCATGACTGAATTGTTGTCTAATTCACTTTAACCCAAGAAGCCGCTGCGGAAGGGAAGACCTCAGGGGACTTTCTGCTCCCCTTTCCCACCAAAATGATCAGTCACTGCTGCTCTCAACCACGCTGCCTCACACTACGTAAAACCTCAGGCATCTTGTAACCATTGAGTTGTCCGCTTTCCATGAGATGAGCTATTTTGATCATAGCGCAGGAAAATTATTTTAGAAAATGGCTTCCAGTAAAGAATTATTCTCTGCGGCATGGAAGCCATAGCTATTCGCTATTGGTCGCACACTTGCTGAACTATCGCTTACATCTCGATAGTTGGCAGACAACTTATAAAGATTCAGCAAAATCTGCTTGGAGCTATAGTTATTTCATCAATCAAATGTCTGTGTGTGTGTGTGTGTGTGTGTGTGTGTCTGACAGCGAACAATATTACTCTCCGATGTGTGTGGGCCTGTCACAATATATGTACGGTAGTAGTCTCTGCGTGGCGATGCGTCCCGCTCTGAAAGCACCGGTTCTTCATGTCAGTGGCTGTGCAGGATTTGTTGACCACTGAACAATACTGCAGTTTTTAGTCTGCGTCTCAGGGCTCATTAGCGCGGCGATGAGAGATGAGGCACCGCCCACTGAATCCTCGTCTGTCCCTTTCACACTCTACACACCCGTGCTTTTACGCTGACCTCAATGTATGCTGTAAAGGAATTAAGACAATCCTTCAAGTGAGCAAGAACGCACGGAACACAAATCCTGGTTTAGTTACCAGATAACAATCTCACTTTCAAACTTCATGTCCAGTGTTGGAATTTTTCTCTTGTTCTATTATCTATTGGTGAAATTCTTCATTCAAACGCGGCTGATTTTATTCTCAATTAAGTTTTTTTATGACCAAAACTGCATTATGTTATGTTAACATATTGTAAAGACAATAAATCCATATATTAAATCAGGTAATATCATTACACTCTAAATCAATCAGTCTACTACTACTACTACGGCTAATGTATTTTGTATTGGAGGAAACAGGCACGCACAGGTGCATTTAGCTATTCATACGAGACATCACATTGGATTGCATTTTTTGCCTGGACATTTACGCTATATTTAAGCTAAAGCATGCATGCATAATCCAAAATGAGCTGCAGAGACTTTATTTCAATGAGTCCCACACTTTTACACATGAACCTGATATTGACTAGTTTCTGAAGTACCTCGACCTTTCTGAACATAAATATTTTGCCAAGTGTGATAAAACCAGCCATCGGCTGGCAATAAATAATGAAGTATCACACATCAAACATCTTTATCACCCACAGACTGCTGCTTTAGACGCGGTTTGAGAGGTTGCAGTGCTTTGTGCGCTGCGGCCTGAGGAGGATCAGCAGTCCACTTCTTCTGATACACTCTCTTATCACCAAGCTGGGGAATGTGGAGGAGCTCAGCAGAGTCAACAGGATCTGAAGCACTCGCCAGGCGCTTAGACCAACACCGTAATCCAGGCTAAATCTGTGCCGCGGCCCCTCACAACGGGCTCACACCCTCAGATGCATTTCCAACTTTATTTCAGACGCACAGTACAGTAGCTCCAGCCGGCCTCATACTCAGGCGATGACTTGTCTGTGTGCCCTCCGGAGTAGACGGCGCCCTCCCTGAGGACAACTTCACAGCTCAGTGGCCTCGACACCGATGACAACAGCTGTCGCCGAGCAGGAGAATAATAGCAGAGACGAGAAATGCTTCAAAGCCTCACGCTGGCTGTGGGTGAAAATATCAAGGTTGAAAAGGCTAAACGTTGCAACATGTCGCTATTACTCCTTTCTTATCTTCAGTGGCAGTTTTTTCGAAAAGGCTTCATGGTGAGTTTCGACGCATTATCATTTCTTCTTTGTAACCTCGGGACTGCGGTAAACCACTATCCCCATCGCCACGTGCGGCCTGTGTGATGCCGTTGTCACGGACTCAAGCTCACTCCCAACCCAAGAGGGACCATTGTCTGGCTGCCGTTAAGAATGTCCCACCCCCCCCTCAACCCCCCGATCAATGGGGCTGGTGCTCTGCCATTCTGAAGAGTCATTTCTCTGCGGGTGTACGTGATGAGCACTTGGGCTCCATGCAGGCTGGAGAGGAGCGACGTGCTTGTAGGGTTAGGGAGAGCGTCATAATAAGGACACGTTGTGTAGAGCGCTGCGGACGCGGAGTGCTCCATTATCAGGAGCACAAGCGACAGGGTCTGGAGTGCTCGACTGACATTGTTTAGGCCCTGGACCCGGGGGGAGCTGGGAAAATGATTGAAGCTAGGGAATTGCCACTCATTATCGCTGGACTGGAATCAAGAATTTCCTGTTCCTGTAATTTTTAATGACACTACAGTGCCAATTTCAATACTTAAATTGTATCTAGATCTTTTTGCAAACTTATATAAGCAACTGCCTGAAGACAGAAGTAAATATGAACCTCTATAAATGGATTAAAGGTCAGTTGTGACTAAAATCAAGGTGGGATAACTGGCAGCGTGGTTCTTGACAGAGGTCGGTGGAGACCATTTTTGTGCTGCCTGTCATTTCCTGTCTGGTCTCTAGCAGAGGCCCTTGCTCGTTTATTTTTACAGTTTCCGCTTTCTCCGTTTTTTACTAGCTAGCTTTCCCCTGTAGGGAGGGGCAGGTGGGTTAGGGGTTTCAGTACTGAGCAAAACCGTCCCTGTGCATGGCCCGGCAGACCCCACCTCCCTTCTCCTCAACACACTTGCTCACAATGGGGTCTCTGTAAAACTGGCCCCAAACGTACTCCTGCCTTCCCCCTAAAAACAGGAAACCGGAATCTGCAAAGCTCTTGTTTTTCCACTAATTTCCTGCTTTGCTTCCCCGTCTCCAGATTATTTTCTTTATTTTTTTCTAGTTCCTACCGGATTGGTTATACCTTATCAACATTTTGCATGCGTGTTCATCTGAAAACCAATGGCATTGGTGCAGCCATTGAGGTAAAAGCAAAAACAGACTATTATATTCATAAAAAAACCACATACCACTGGACACTTAAGATCGTCCACGGCCGTTACTGTACCATGGTTCAGACAAATAGGCTGTGCTTATGACTGACAGTGACAAACTACAGCTCTAACTTCACAGAAATAGCAATGTACACTTTTATTTGAAGTGTAAAATGTCCAAAGTTGATTACATGTTTCTATAGTCGAGCTGGAGATTATTGTGCCAAGGAAAACTTTGAAACCACGGACTGTTATTGACTTCAGTTATGGCTTCTGGAGCAGCCGAGTGAAGGGGGGCAATGCCCATATAGGCAGCTCTGTACATTTTCTAGAGATCTGCATGCACGGCAGTCAGAAACAAAGAAGCTCTATTCTTTTAATTGGACATTTGTCAGATGAATGATGCCAGACAAAGGCAGCAAATGCTATTTCAGTTTTGGTTTTATCAATAAGTCACTAGACCTAAAACTGGAAAATTGAACATATTGCAACTGAGAAGGAAACAGGAACAAACGCCTCTCTTTTCCCTTTCATTGAAAATGAAAGAGAAGACTCAAGTCCACGAGGGAATTTTCAGCCAGGAGGTGGACTGCGGCATGTACGGAGTGGGAAGGGGGAGGAACAGCGAGAGACCCTGTGAGCTGGGAGAGGGGAGACGCAAAAATAAAACAGAAAAGCAACACAAGCGGAAGTGGGGGGAAGTAAAGTAGAGGGAAAGCTCAAGTTCCTCTGGAGGAAAATGCCATTGAAACCATATCAAGTTTGCAGAATGAGAGTGCGAGGGAGAGAGAGAGAGAGTTATTGGCGTTTAAGTGTACAATTTGGTAATGGGCTTATGAGGGGGCTCGCTCGCTGTTTCAATAAACCCCCAGAGCCATGACTGAGCTAGGCTTGCAATACAAACACACGCCGTTCCTTCAGTTTATCTGAAAGACACATCTGGAGTCTATCAACTCCAGCAGCACCCCCCTTTCTGTTTCCACTCTCCAGCACGCTTAACCCCTTCCTCACCCGCTCCACCCCTCAATGTCATGCACTCTCATTAGCTGACTGTTGCCTAACTGTGGGCCACTCAATGGCGATTGCAGGGAAATATCCAAACACAAATGTTCATTTTTCTATGGGGAAGAAATAAGACTCCCATGTGGAACTTCCACAGCTGGCATTAGTTTTCTTCAGAATGGTGGGCTGCTACAATCTAAACCTTTTCTTACCCAGAATGATCTAGACAGGAGGGATCCTTGCTGTGTACGTACGTTTTTCACTTGCAATAACATTGCCCACTTGTGCCGTGTTTCCACTCATCAAGGTAATTTGCCTGTGTGGAAAAAAACGTTAATCTACCACGAAGAAAAACAACCCCATATTTATTTGAGACAAACTGCAGGAGTGTGCTTTCCTTCTCTCCCTCTCCCTCCAGCCACCATACCATCTTTAGCCATCCTGGCTCCACTTCTACTGTGTCAGATGGTAAAGTTGTTTAAGTTGGACCGCTTCCTAACCCGAGCGGCTCACAACGGCGGAGGCGATTTCAAGGTTGGTTTCAGAGAGGCCAAGGCAAAGACTGAGTGCTCTGTCTATTTCTTTTAACAGTTCCTATCAAATGAAAACATCTGCATATTTACATCTGCCCTCTGTGACTTTGGTCACAGGTTTCAGTGCAAACTGCCATAATTATTTTTTCAAATAAAGCTGTTATTACAAATATATATATATATATATATATATATATATATATATATATATATATATATATATATGTAGACATGTCAGGTAGATTCATTCCGCAGGGATCATCGCAACTTCAAGTTCACCATGCTGCCAACACCTGTGAGCGTCTATCAAGTCCTAACCACAAGCCTCACTCCTGCCTTTCAGACGCGTTCAGTGCCGGCGACCTGCTGATCCCTCATTCATCATCATCGCTGCCCTGTGCTCTTCCTCTCTGCTCCCTTTCAACCGGTGGGGTGCGCAGACCTGGTAATGAGCGGCCCTTGTGCCCCTGCCTGCCTGTCCTGTGTCCCATGGTGCAGTGGGGCCCAGTTGGACAAGAGCCAGACTGCCTTGACCCTCTCTTTGCTCATTATTCTCATTACCTCGCTTCAAATCAGGGCCGGACAGGCTGCTGGGATCTGTCCACGACTCATAAATGTCCTGTCTCGTCACAGGGGCGGCCAGCGTCAGCGCCAATCAGGAAGGGCGTGCAAAGAGGCTGAGGTGCTCAAACAGGTACACGAGTACAGCATCGCGGGGCGGAGGGCGTGCACACACGTGTGTGACTTACTTTGCCTACAGCACACACTGCCGCAGAAGGCAGGTATGATTCAACTGGTGTTTCATCCCAAAAGCTGGAAAGAATGAGGTATTCCAAGACCCAAATGTAGCTGTTGGATGGCAATTATTTTCAAAAGAGCTACAAAAACACAGTAGTCCAGTAAGAGGGCAAAGACAAACATGGCTAAATCGCTCCTTAGCACTTGGGTGGTTTGGCAGGTTATGAAGGCAAGCGTGGCTTTGAGGAGGTTGGTCCTAATGAAAGGGCTAACTGTGTAGATTGCTGCACTGTCTGTCCCGGGCCTGGAGGAGGGTGGCCTGCTCCGGAGCTGTATTCTCCAACTAACAACAGCCGACCAGTCTGCATTCAACTCTGAATAGATGGTCTGGTGTGAGCGTGTGGGTGTGCGTCTGCTGAGAGAGTTACCAGGCCCTTTAGAAACTGCTGGACAAGAAGCGAGGTTGCCCATACTAGGAAACGGCACTCTGAGTTTCAGCACACACTTGGAGTCACGACTGAGATGGGCCAAGAGTGAGAATGTTCACATGCAGTCGGGGAGCAGACCGTGTTGAACCTTGTCGCAGAGGGGAAGAGCTGCAGTGTAATTCCTTGATATGTGTTTACTCAGCCCCAAGGGGCTGCCCTTTGATTACACCACTGACCACATAATATGAGTAACTGCTCACAACTGCTCCGAATGACAAGCACATGTAGACGATGAACTGGAAAGAATGAGAGGGCCCGAAGAGCCGAAAAGACAAAACAAGGCTGAGATCGCACGGAATTAGACAAAAACGGAACCTAAACCGGAATTATACCTGAAACAGATTTCTGTGTTCATCCTTTCAGGTCCTTCCACTGAAACCCCCACTGATCGTTCTTCATTCAGGACGGCCACTTTAACCCTTAGCGTAGATGTAATTATAAACCGTGCAGTGCGCAATTAAAGGTTGGAGACGTCAGAGTGGGCGAGCAGACCTCCACCGCTGTGATGGAGAGCCAGCAGAGGTTAAGGCAGAGGAGTGAAATGGGGCCTGCGTGATCTTCCCTCACACTGGACGCCTACATCTCTCTCTGTGAAGCACAAGTATGTGTGTGTGTGTGTGTGTGTGTGTGTGTGTGTGTGTGTGTGTGTGTGTGTGTGTGTGTGTGTGTGCGTGATGTTTGTCTGCCTGTTCTCATTCTCATTCTCGCAGGTCTTTTAGCTGTGAGCCTGCAGGAAAGCTCCACCCTTGTGCCCCCTGCTTGTTTTATCACTGCTGCAGCTACAAGGGCCAGTTAGTGGGTAAGCTCAGGTTACTCGGGTCAACCAACCTGAGGCTCTGCAGGGGAACCTGTCCGCACTTACAAAAACAAGCAACATCTCCTTGTTTTACATCCAACACAGAGATCTTCTTTGACTTTACTTTTGCTATCAATTGTTCTTCCGAACACAGCGCCTCGGCGTAGCGTCGTCCTGCAAACAGCTTTTTAACACGTTTGGTGCAAGACAGTTGACATAAGAGCAGAGAAATTGACCCCTGAACAATTCACCTACGGTGTCCACATGCCGGAGAGAACAAACATCAATTTCAGCAAATTCAGCTTTTGTTATCGCCTGGCAAGTCTGGGGTGAGCTCCAGCAGGCAGGTACTAACAAGCTAACAACGGCAGCAAATGAGCAGAGTGTTGTTTCTTTTTAGCATTTTTGAGAGGCTCGTTAGCTTCATGGGTGGCAGCTCCGAGTGGCATGTGGAATTAATATCCCTTCAACATTCCCACCCCCCCTCTAACAAAATAAGTATGTCTGGCAGACTACAGTATCCAGACTGAAGTGACTCCACGTGTGTTGTTAGCTACCAGGACGCTATAAAGCTTTACTGGAACGCTCCGTAAAACAACACCTTGGTGGGAAACCCGTACTGTAATTCACACAGTGAATTCCCAGGAGCATCACAGGAGCATCACAGGAGCATCGCAGGAGCATCACAGGAGCATCACAGAAGCCTAGCCGGTAAATGCCGGTCTGGACCCAGATTGACGTGAAGGTGACTCAGCTGTCTCCCGTTGTTTCGTGTGCACAAACCAAGTCTGGTTTCACAGTCATCCATCTCACATTCTTTTTAATATTGCAGTCTGGAATAAGTGTTTGACCGACCGACATAAAGAGCCATGTATTGTGTGGCTAAAAACTACCTCCCATTATGGTTGTTTTCCTGTTTGTAATCAGAAATGCCATTCATTCATTTCCCCCAGAAATGATCTATTGTCTCTCTCAAACTCCATACAAATGGATTACAATACTAAAACGGAGGGCTACGCAGTCTGCGAAGCTGCCAAGACGCGCCTCCTCCCAAAGATCTCTCTTATCTTGACCTGGGGAGTGGAGCTTACCTGATAATGAAGGACTGAAGTGTAATAATATGAGCCTTTCAACATCACTTTATGATAGCCAGTCTGAGTGTATCATCCTCCCTGCTGGACAGAAGCCCATCTTTGGATACAAGTGCAAGTCTGCAAAGGCTTTAGCTTTAGCTCATACACAGTTGCATAAAATATGTCTCATGTACACAATAAACATGACAGTGTAGCATCTGAAGAAGTTAAAAACATTGATAAAAGATGATAAACAGCAAGGCCACTCACAGCTTCTCCAAAGCGTAAAGTCCAAAGAAGGATCCATTAAGCAGGACTCGGATTTTGTTGTGACTCAGTATCCTGTAAAAAAAGACAAAGCATTGTTAGAAATATTCCTTCCAAGAATAAACTGAAGGTGATGAGTTACTATCTCGGACATGAGCTTCAACGAGAGTTCAGGTAACCGAACACAGGGAATGGGTCACGAGAAGAGGATAAGAGTCAAGGAAAATGTCCATCTGGTGCTGCAGTAGTCGCACGCCATTAACCTAACCAGAGACGTTAGCTCAAGATGTTTCCAATTAATGCTAAACACTGAATGGGACATCAAGATAAGTTTCAATCTTGATCATCACTTTGCATCAAAAGGATTTCTTTCCACATCAAACAAAAGGCGGCACAGCACAGGCCATGTTAATTAGCTCTTTCCCTACTGGCGAATCACTTGGCTTATCAGACCTGAAGGCAGAGGGCCACGGGACACACTAAGGCTGAGATTGCTTTTTTTTCTGGCAAAGGATCATGGGAAATGTATATCTACAGTAATCCCTTAGCTCGGAGGGACTTGCCATTGTCAAAGTGACTTATGGAAAACATTTGTCTGGACTTTTGACTTTTTTTTCAGTTCATTTGCTTTCTTGCCAAGAGTTAGATGAGAATGTGTGAACTAATATGATGCTAAATATGATGCTACAGCCAACAGGTGCAGTTGCTTTATGATCCATTAAAGAGTAGCGTAAGACCCCCTGAACTTGTCTTTGATGATCCCCAGTGGTTGAACTGCTCACCTTGCTGGAGTGATATAGTGGTGCACTCGTCGCTGCCGCGTGTGGATGCCGCCTTTCAGCTCAACGTTAAGTTACTGTTTAAGCTGTTCCCTGTGTCCTGTCTTCATAACTGTTTAAGGCTCAGTCCTTATTACTGACGTCAACAAAACAGCATGTTCACACAGCCGTCCCAGTGGATCCACAGAGATGCCCGACGTCCCCGCGCCAAAGCTCAGGGTGCAGCAGGAGCCCTGATTCATGAGACAGCCCGCCATCATCAACACACCCTTCGGTTTCACATCATCTCGCCTCTACCACATGGTGCTCATTGGGCAGTTTGCTACATTAAGTGTGTTTTTAATCCAGAGAGGGGAGCTGCGTGAACGCCTTTAAAAGTGGGAGCGGACTGTGAACAGTCTGTGATATTTACAGATTCAGCAGCAGCAGTCGCCCCCCCCCCGCCTCCCCGCTTCCTGCCACTATCAATAAAAACACCGCCTTCAGCTCGGCACCTTCCAACTCACTTAATGACCAGATTTAATCATCCGGTCTTGGTGTGCAGGGACGAACTGGCTTTACTTACTTCTTTCCTTCAGTAACCCCCTAACCACAGCCAAAATTACCAGGATGATTTGGAGATAGAATAGCAAACAAAGGGAGAGCCAACAATGTGGGAAGTAAATATTCTGCTCCTGGACACCTCATTCCAAATCGTCCTACAACTATGTTCTAAAATTAGAAATATTTTTCTAAACTGGGAGGCAATTCAAGAGACGAGAGCTGCTCCACTGATAATGACTATAATACTGAAACAAAGGCCACTTTTCTGTTTTACTTTATTTAGCTTTCAAACCAGAATCATTTTTATTTGGGGATTTTGTGAAAAGCATCAATTGAATTACTTTCTAAAACTGCAAACTGCTAAAAGACGTGAATCCTCAGAAATTGACAGCCTTATTTTTAGTTTTAAAAAAAAAGTGTAAAACATGTCATGTTCACAAACCCACACTAAATTGTTGAAATAAATCATGGTTATTAAATCAAAACCTTACTGAATGAGTGCAGAGTTTGTTATCTTGTCATGTAGACTGTGTTTGAACCTACGACTTCTGGACCTCCATGTCTCTCACTTGACTTTGGGCAAAGTATCTCGGTATAAACGGGAGGCAGCCCTCAGATGAAAGCTGCAGAAGATCCGGAAGTGCCCGTATAATTCGATACAGATAGGAGAGGAGAAAGTCACATCTGGCAAACCAGCAACCCATTTAATTCAACACAGGCAGTTTAGAAACAGATTTTTTTACCAAGCTTATTGAGCAGAAACAAAATATTAGTCAGAGGACAGTGTGCGTATGTGTGCTGCTTCTTTTAGCGTGCTTATATAAATGTATTACCCATAAGAACAAAACACACAGAATTTTGAAGCAATTTGAAAGGTTTTCCTCATAGAACCTTTAGGCATGAGGTTATTAACAAGGCATCCTATCACAAAACCCCACATTTGTCTCAAGTTAAAATATTTCAACACATCGCATTTCAATTTGCTTGCGTCTCTGTGCATTAGAACTTGAAAGCTGACTTTCAGAAATAAACAAAGACCACAAAATCCGCTGACTGAAAACCTCTCCCAGACAACAAAAGGCCCAGATTTCCAGGAATGGAGGGGAGTTGCAGATCTGGACACTACTGTATAATCCCAGAATCCTGATGTTTGGAGCACAGTTGAATTGAGGACATTGTTCTGTCATAAACAATACAGAAAGTACAACTATGAGAAAAAGAGAGAGAGAGAGAGAGAGACGCGCAGAACTCATATTCAGCGTTCCCATCAGGCTAAACAGGAAACGCGGCCAATTAGCTGTTTATTCAGAACCCGGCATCAGAGGTCAGGGGTTGTAGAGCGAGAACTTCCCGGGCAGCCATCCGACCGGCGCAGCAGCGTCTGGTGGCCGGTGATAGCTGAGCCCTGTGAGACTGCATCACTTCATCACCGGAGTACACAGAGGTCAACAGCGGTTTACAAGCAAAGAAGATGAGTAGCTTGTTAATCATAGAGGTTTACTACTTGGAGGCCTAGCGTCTGCTTCGTATTGCTACCGAGGCCTTTCCACAACCAGTGGCTTCTTTCCCTTTTGCAGTGACAGATCAAATGGCAGATTGAATTAATCTGCTTTGGTGGATGGCAGGACAGTGTGATAACTCAGCCCAGAAAGGGGACGGCGTCTTTCATTCACTTAACCCTTTCATACCACAAAGGCCTCTGAGATATCAGACAGGCTAATTGAATCCATCTAATCTATGGAGAGCAAAAAAACAAAAACAAACAGCCACCAGGGCCACATGTCAGGCTCCAGAATCCCATTCACCCGTTTCATCTAATTCATTTAAATGGAGTTCGAAAAGCAAGGAGGTCATATGGAAACAGTCAGATCAGACAGACACACAGACACCAGCCTTCCCTTCCCACAGAAGACATGGAGGGCCACTTTGCATAATGTGCTTCTGTATTTTATACTTCCTAAAACTACAAAGTGAAATGAATTCATAAATTTCAGCATAGAACTGGGTTTTACTGCCCAAATGAAAACTATAAACTATATTCAATACAACATTAATTCAAAGTGAAAAGTTAACGCCAAATATCTTTGGGGGGGAAAATGAAGAAGTACGACTGATATTAGCATGCGTGACGTGCCAGTATTAAGTGCTTTAGCTCAGCGTTAACTTATGGTTTTCCTGAGTGCATAACCGTTTTTCTGCTGTCTCGTTAACCACAGCGGCTCCTCCCGGCACCAGGCCCCTCACTTTGTTGGTCTGCTCAATTTGCTGCCTAAACCCACCAAGCCTTTGAGGGCCACACAGCAGCATGTCGAAAATCTGCTCACTGATTTCACTCCTAACTGCAAGCGTGGCCGTGTCGCTGTAGCACAAGCCCCCGGGTCGGGGGGGATGTGTGGTGCACTTGTACCTGGGTGTGTCGTTAACCGTATAGCTGTCCGTCAAAAGCAGCGAGCTTCTTACAGCTGTTTTTTGCTTTCGGGTCGTCGTCAACCGATCATTTCACCGAGGAACCATCTCCGTGGTGGAGCTTGGGCGGCTGGTTGTGAAGTCCTTTCAGCGGCCCGGTGCACAGGGACAGCGGGAGAAACCCGTCCTGTCTTGACTGCAGCTAGAATGCTGCGAACCCAAACTAGACAGGATGTCCCGTTTGCAGTCGGATGTCACCAAAGGTTTCGTGTTTATATCTTTGCATCCTTCATCCCACCGGCCTACAAGACAGCACTTGAATATTGTTTTTTCCCCAGTTTCAAGTGGGAAGCATACAGGAAATGCTCCATCCTGGTTTGGCATTCCACTCAGGAACTGACTGTGATACGTTTGAGTGAAAAGCGCTGATTCCAAAAGGCCTCGGCTGCCCTCTAAATATTCCGGCTGGCCGGACACAGAAAGCTCTATTTAGCTGCAGGCTTTTGCAGCAAAATACAAACAAAATAAAAGTCTCAAGAAAGGATTTATATTTAATAAGAATTCATCTGCAGGATAAGCTGCCTGCGCTCCATACCTGTGTATTATTCTTTTTAATAATATCCGTTTCATTTTGAATACAGCGCAAAACAACTGGAGCACTTCTGCAGTGTGAGTGGATGTTGCGGCCATTAATAAAACGGCGTGCAGAGTGCTGACTGGACGCTCCAGCTGGCGTCCTAGAGTCAAAACAACCCGATAGGCAACTGTCTCAACATCTTTTAACGCTGGATAGCTCTCTTGCCCTTGAGGACCACACACCAGGTGAAACGATCCTTGAAAGAGATTGGTAACGTGCCATAAATCCGGCCCTAAATCGCAGACCAATGGGAGCCAGATAATGACGTGTCTCTCTTATAAATGAGCATCAGGGCGTCCTTATTCAATTAAGCCTTGTTTGATTAGCATGCTGACTTGACAAAGCACAAGCTGGTGTGTACAGCAGCGCTTAAGTCCATATGAATGGGAGAAGACATTTCTTTTTGCCTTGAGGGAAGTTTCCTTAGAGGTAATTAGATTTGGCTGAAAGCAATACAATTACGCAATTTAACACTAACAGCAGAGCATTGTGTGTGAGCACTTTAATTTGTGTACTTTACAGCCAAGTTACACTTTCATACAAAACCATCAATGTCTTACTGCATTTCCTCCGCTTTGCTTTCCATTTGAGCAGCTGCAGTTGCATTTCGAGAATCCTGGCAGTTCACAGCGGAGAACTAAGCGGACATGGCAGCATTTCTCTTTATGTACACATCACACACTTGGATTTAACCAGGACAGACGTTGTGG